TAAACCAATCACGGAACTAGGATATTGTTCCGGCGGGATTCAGATGCCTACCTCCATTCCTTGAGAAATTAGGAATACCTGTGCTCTCTCTGCATATTATAGCGGCGTCTCTTAACGCGGCCTACGCATCGGCGTATCGTTTCCAGATCAATCACAACGATAATACGGAGTACGTGGCGAGAAATGTCAACTCCCACAAATACAACTGCATTTTTCTCAGGTCGAATGTGCCATGTCCTTTATGTGTAGATCGCAAATGATGGACGCCACGATCTAACCAAAACGCGGATCCTACCAGAGGGCTGGCTAATCGCCGGTCAGATCCTTGCTACGCTGGGCCTGATCGTTTTGCCGGAAACACCGCTGCATATGGATCGAGACGAATTTGTTTTTGTATTTGTTATTCCATCATCCTTGAAAGGCAATTAAAATTTTTCAAAGTGGCGACTGATGCAAAACGCTCTTTCTGGAAAGAACGATCGCTCGTGATACCAAAAGACGCGAGTCAGCTTTCCCCATCAGCACGGTTCCCAGAGTAGCCCATACGTAGTAGCTGTCTGTACTCCGTACGGAGTACAGTGATACCCACAACAGGCGGCGCGGGGATGCCCCTTGACAATGGCTTTGGACTGTCATGCAATATCCTATTTTTGTTGTTATTGAGAGCAGAACTGGCCTATGATGCAATATTCCTGCTCGAATCGGTCACCTTAATCAATGTCGTCATTGGATATTGGCTTTCGCTCCACGAAATCCTCTGCCGCTTCATCATGGTCACATTCTTGCAGCGCCTCAGAGCCTGAGCTTCATCTTTATATGAACATACAGGGTAGTGCAGTCGTTCACCCGCAGGTTAAACGCCACAGATTTTCCTCTTGAGAATGATCATACCTGCTACAGCTTGGGTATTGGTGAGCATTGGGCGCCTCATCTGAAGATGGAGTGAGGGGAGCTACCTGTGCATCTGAACGTGAGACTTAGACGCATGCGACGCACAAAGCACAACCCCGTGATGGGTTGAAGAGTCAAACCCACTCGTGCTGCGACATCCAACCGTGGGTTCAATAATCTTGGGGGAACTGCTGTTATCCCCTTCGTGTGGTTGCTTTTTGTCTGGGAGGCTAGCTGATCCTCTCTAGGAAGGACTGTGATTGCAGCATGGAGAACCTCCTACACCGATATTTGATCACCCAATCACTGCGACAGATGCCTCCCCACCCTGTTTCCCGCTTTGGGCGGACCATCATGGTCCCCGAATCAATGATCTGAATAATACTGTCACTGGAGAGGGTTTTGTCTCATAATAAATTTCAATGTATACGAAAGGACAAACTACATATGAAATATTTGATAAATATGTCAGAGATCTCCAACAAACAGATAAGCATTTGCTCCCGACAAATCAGACGAAAATCCGTTTCACAAAGAAACCGAATAGTAGCCAAGGGGAGAGATGCAAAAGGAATTTCCGGTTCAGAAGAACCGAAATCCTCACTGGAAGACCCGATTTTAATATTCCAACGCTCCGTTAAGGACAGATCTTTGAACGATATGTATCTCAGTAGGAAACCACTTTGATACATGACTGAAGAATGTCCCTGCAGAACCCTTAGTGTCTCTGCATCGTTGGTACTGGGTAATAATGTGCCCTGCTTGGCAACGCTATGGCACCGACGGCAATCATACTGAGAAGCAAGATGGGAAAGAATCGAAATAAAAGGTTAATCACGTGTAGGACATCCGTCAACAGTGTAATTTCATATCTAAGTCCGCCGTCCATCAATGGTAGGATCTAATATCCGGCCGAACCACAGGTCCTGATGGGTCTCCACGGGAACCGTGGGAGACGAAAATGTCCTGGCTCGTTTTGGGAAAAGCGGGATAGATGTGTATGCGAGGAGCGGGGGTGAGAAGGAATGCATGTATGTTGCCGTTAGATGCACTTGATTCACCAATCCAGTGCAAGGCTGGCTTCCAATGGTACTGGTCGGTCCTATCAACAAGCCCTCCTGGGCTCTAAGGTAGGAACTCTGAGCATAATTTAATTGTTTCTGTGAAAAAGGTTGAAACTGAAGCTTGACTCCCGTGGCTATGCCTGGAACGGACGCAAGCTCGCAGCTGGCTGTCAAAGAGCTGTCATTAGCGATTGGATACCATCCAAGTGCCTCATAAATATCATTGGCCTACCTCTCTCTCATGATATAGCCATAGTTTGCATCCTGCCTGGGACGGGGGACAATGCCACCAGGTTATGGTCCTCTTCACTTTGGAAGCTGGCTGCCGCAATCAGTACTACCACGATGAGCCCTTCTCGCTCTCATTGCTCGAGAGAAATTGGTTCAACACGGCATCTCCTGCAAGATCTGAGAGGCTCATGCTTCATAGAGTTGTCGATCTAGACCAGCAGAAATGACTGGTGATCCCATGTACGCTGTCGAGTCCCTTTTGTTTTTTTTGTATTTTTCTTGAAGGCGTTAAAGCAAAGGATTCCCTCGGCCAAACCAAGCCCTAAGCCCTAACCACGTAGCTGCCTTTAACTTTCTTGGCAATTGTCACGTGCTATAAGCAGTTGGATCACGTGACTATTCAGGGGGCTCAAATCAACTACTTCCCCCCGCAACAGAATATACTCTCAAAACCCCGTTGTGCTATGTTCCATGGCTCTCTGAGATTTGCTGGGACTCTATCAGTGACATACCGGGAGGAGCCGATGCGGCGACAGGGAGACGTGGCAGCATAGCTCTAACTGGTATCCACATTTTCTTTTATATACATGAGGGAACGGACTTCTGGATCAGAAAGTTGATAAAATGATTTCTCGCTACCAATAGTATGAATATATAATTAGGAATCGTAATATAGCTACAAATCATTCCATTGCTTTGGGTCAACTGCCGGAGGTATCGACACGCAAATGCGGCGCATCCTCTCCCAATGCTTTAAATTCTAGTCGCGCAACTCAAAGAGAGAAGAGATACTAGAGTCCAAGTTAGGACCAGATCTGACCTGCTAACAGCCAAGGACAAAGCCTACCTCTCTCCGTAGTGGTGGCGCCGGATACTCTCTGACAACAGTGCAGATACGTCCAGAACAACCAGTTTCTTCATCCTTCTAGCCCTTTGCGGATCAATGGGGAACGTATTTGTTATGACGACGTAGTCAATGCAATCGCACCGCTCCATCTGTTCAAGCGAGTTTTCTCCGAAAAGACCGTGGGTCGCGATACAGTATACCTTGTTCGCACCACCCTTTTTCACAACGGTCTCTGCCGCCGCGATCCAAGATCCTGCGCGGTCAATCATATCATCAACAATAAAGACAGTTTTGTCCCTGACATCACCAACCAGGGTGATCGTGCGCTCATGGTTAGAATTTTGAGCTTTTTCATCCTCTTCGTCTGAAGAGGCGGCAGCATCGAAGGACCCACCGAGGGCGTGCTCCGGTTGGAAGGATGATAGTGTAGACACTGCTGACTCCGAAGTTGGATCGAGAGAAGCGCCATCGTATATCTCGGTCCGCTCCACGGTAACATTGAAGCCGGAAACCGAAGCTGCAGTAGAGGAGAGATTTGCCGAGGGGTAGTCATCGTCAACTAAATGCCCCTGGACCAGTCGCGCGGTTACAACTTCACGGGCACGCTCATCAGTATATTCATTCGTCGTATCGTCATCATCGTGGCCGGCCTCTCCGAGTCCAGATTGTGGTGTTCTGCTCTCTTCAGGGAGGGTTGCCAAAGTGTTAGGTTGCGCATCGATAAAGGGGTCGGGAAGGGAGGATGAATTAAGGTTAATATCTTGAGGGCGAGGACGAGTGGGTAAACTCGCGCGATGCGAGACATTCCGCGGCTGGAATTCCGCATTTCTGACATTTGCCAGGTTATGGTCGACTGAGTCAAAGAATATGGCACTATCAGTCATGGAATTGTGGTTATACTTCTGCCGTCTGCGGTCTGTCGTAACGATGCCGAAGTTCAGTTTCAATGCGTCTGCGAGTGAGGTTACACGCTTGCTGCCTCCAGCATTCTTCGTAACTACCACAGCTTCATGCCAGCGTGGAACGTTTATCCTAATCCACCGTGCTATCAAAGATTCGGCAAAGAGGTTATCAACGGGTTTTCCGAAAAACCCCTGCATTTGGGATGCCTATATTAACGCTGTTAGCACACAAAACCATTGTTAGCCGGCGATTTCGTGATCGTACATGCAGGTCCACAGTGATAACATGGTCTACGCCAGCGATCGAGAGTAGATTGGCAAGCATTCGGGCTGTAATCGCTCCGCGATGGCTCTTCTTCTTCGATTGACGCGAATAAGGGAAGTATCTTCAGGACGTTAGTGGATTTCTTTCTATAGATAGCTAGCAACGGGAGACATACGGCAGTACAGCTTCAACAGATAGTCAGCCATCCAATTCCACACCCTTTCAATGTAATCACGGGGCAAAACCAGAACACCTACCCGTTATTGACTTCGCCGATCCGCCCTTGCATGCCGAGATCATGATCAGCAGTTCCATCACGCTATCATTGATCTTGCTGCTTCCACTCTGGACAATGAAGACATCCTGATTTCGCACCGATACGCCGATATTCACACAGGTCTCGCCATTGCTAAATTTCCGCAGTTCGCATTTCGCAGGGACGGTTCCCAGCCGCTCGCAGATGGCCTCCGTGAGGGCGGGGTGAGAGGTACCGGAGAATATCTGAACGCCCCGCATTTTTAATTGATGGGCATCAAAAGAAACGGGCAACCGATATCATCAACGCTAGTCAAGGAGATAGTTCATGAACATACTCGGGACGTAGGTGTGTTTATTCATGAATTTTTTTGGTTTTCGACAATTCGACCAACGACAGCGCTCGAAACTCAAAAAACCTTTTTTGGGTTCGAGACTCAAGAGAACATGTGACACTACGGAGTACAGAACTCTTGGAAGAGCCATTATATAAAGTGAGTGTACATGTTCACCACGGAAGCTCGAGGACCGCAAAATAACAATGTGAAGCTGGGAGGCGAACCTGGCTTAATTTCCATCTCGAAGGTAGCGTTGTCCCACAATGCCGCACAGCTTTCCTCCCATCCAGCCTGGCGGCTCTCTCATGGTCGCATGGCAGGTACGGGACAAGAAGGTGCTCGTCGTAGGTGGAGGTGAGGTTCGTTACAGGGCTCTTATCCCCGAACTTCTGACCGTCCCATCCTCGCTAACGGGTCTTATGCAGGTCGCAGCAGGCAGGATCCTGCACGCCTTGAACGCCGATGCCAAAGTCACCGTCGTATGCCCGTCCGCATGCCTCAATCCCGAAGTCAAGTTCCGCATCTCCCAAAACCAGGTCACCTACAGAGATCGAAAATTTGAACCCGTCGACCTCGAGGAAGATGTAGCGATGGTATTTGTCGCAATCGACGACCCGGAAGCTTCCACGCAGATCTGGAAACTGTGCAAGGAGCGCCGAATACCCGCAAACATCGCCGATGTCCCTTCGGAGTGCGACTTCTACTTCGGCAGCGTACATCGCGATGGACCGCTGCAGGTGATGGTGAGCACGAACGGGAACGGGCCAAAGTTGGCCAGTATTGTCAGAAAGGAGATTGCGTCGGCGCTTCCGGGGAATACGGGCGCAGCGATCCAGAATGTTGGTGTGTTACGGAAGAAGCTGAGAGAGCTTGCCCCCGAGGCGAAGGATGGGCCGAAAAGGATGAAATGGTTGGTGAACGTTTACTTGCGGATTGATGAGTTGCTTGCTATCGGTCTACATACTAATGGTAGCGTAGGATCTCCCGCATATGCGAGACATGGAGCTTGGAGGAGCTTGTTGAGATGGACGAAAGTGATATGGATAGCCTGCTTGCATTCTACGCGCAGAACACGGTTCCTACCTTCGAACAAGTCCGTTTGAAAGAAGAGGATAATATTGCAACTTTTGATGGCAGCATGGGTTGGAGCTGCTGAATTTTTAGGGAATCTTTAAATGGTAGTTTGGCCTTAATGTAATGACAACGTATGGGACATTCTGAGCATGGAAATTGAAAAATTGAAAAGTCCTTTATTTATTTTTGCCCTTCTTTGATGAACCTAGAAATCCACTAAAAGTACACGGAGAGCAACGGATACGCTGCACGCCAACGCCGCCGCAATCACAAACTCAAGATCCCAATGAGAAGAAACATAGAAGTGTCATATCGGCCAATATACGGAAAACATGGGGGAAATAGAAGGGATTGTTGAGTCAAAGAGGCGACGATGGTTGGTGTCGGTGCGTTTAAGGGTTGTTCTTGACGAAATCAATACCTAGGAAAACCTATATCAGTTTATGTCAACCTTTCCCTCTGATGGGACAAATCTTACCCTTGGTAATGTTCTTCTTGAGGTCAACCAAGCAGGCATCGAGCAACTTCTGCTCGTACTCAGAGACCTTGCCAACTGGAAGGATCTCCTCAACACCGTTGGGTCCAAGTCTGACACGGGAGGCGAAGAAGTCAATTCCCTGGGATTTGTAGAGAGGGCTCTCAACAAAGGTTGGCTCGATGACATCCTTAACGCCCTGAGAGGCCTTGAGCAAGCTCTCGGCGAAACGAGCACCGGCCATGGCCATGGAAAGGGTAGCAGATCCAGCACCAGCCTTGGCTTTGACGACCTCATCACCACCGAACTGGATGCGGTTGACAAGGGCCTCGAGGGCTTCACCGGTGATATCTGGGTGGTTAGATTGAGAGACCAAAGGAACAATGGTGACACCAGAGTGTCCACCGATCACGGGAACTTCCTCGTTGGCAGGGTCGGTCTTTTTGATCTCGGAGATGAAGCGAGAGGCACGGACAACGTCGAGGGTGGTAACACCGAACAGGCGCTTGGGGTTGTAGACGTTCTTGGACTTGAAGACTTCGGCAACAATGGGGACGGTGGAGTTGACCTGGGTCAGAGGAATCAGCCAAATTGCCCGATGTAACTTGTAACAGTACTATACTCACAGGGTTAGAGATGACAAGGATGTTAGCCTTTGGGGCAGCATCGGCAGCAGCCTTGGCCAAGTCGCGGACAATGGAGGCGTTGGTGTTGAAGAGATCTGGAGGGATGTAAACGTTAGCTTGCTACATTGTTTCAAGACTTGAGGCTAGCTTGTTCATTCCATACCATCACGGGTCATGCCAGGCTTGCGAGGAACACCAGCAGGGATCAAGACAATTTCAGCGTCGGTCAAGGCTTCACGAAGACCAGAAGGAGTTGGGTCATGGCCGGTAACGGTGCTGTTGGTGTTGATGTGGCTAAGATCAGCAGCGACACCTAAATAAGCAGCATCGCGTCAGCACCAAATATTTCGTATAGCCGGCTAGGTGATCCAGTTTTCCCTGAAAATTAGGCCTTGGAATGTCTTGACGGTTGTGATATTACCTGGCCCACCGCGGATATCGTAGAGAGCAAGCTGGCTAACACGAGGGTTCAGCTTCATGAGCAGAGACAGAGGCTGACCAATGCCACCAGCAGCACCGAGGACGGTAACCTTGGAGTTCTGTTCAATTGGTTAGGTTAGCAGGATGGTGGGAGCCAGTGGCTTCAGGTCCAAATGCATTGGAGCAGCTTGAAGGCGCAATTGGATGATTACCTGTTGAGCAGATGCCGAGAAGGCACGGCGCTGAAAAAGGCCGACAGTTCTGCGGGCGGCAAACATGATGGCTAAAGAAGGGTATCACAAAAAGGAAGGGTGAATTGAAGAAGATGGATCTAAGACAATTGGCCTTGAGAGTGTGTGTTTATCAAGGGAAAGAGAAAAAAGAACAGCAAAGTGAAGTTGGAAAAGAATGAGAGAAGGCCGGAGAGGATTTTCGCTGTTGAAGTCACGGGACAAACACAGGGTTGTTTGGCCAAGTTGCTGGTTGGTGGTTACGGCCTCACCGGCAATGCCCTGGAGCTTCTTCGGCGACAACCCGCCAGGCCCTGAGCACATGGGTCCTTGAAACTCGGGCTACCCCGGCGAATAGGCCAGAGAGAGCACAAGAGACCCTCCGGCCGACATCAACATATGCATTTCTACGCGGAAGAGACCGGGATGGCGCCGCCTCTTGGGTGGCCTCTTCTTGCGGCTACACAGATTCGAAGAGGCTACTTTACGCCGAGGATAACTGACTAGTTGGCCACCATGATGCTCTCGAAGTCTGGGGAACCGCACGTCCTGGGTGGGGAATCAGAACAAGCCTGCGCGCTTCCGATCACCGCCAGACCCAGAGATTTTACTTCCTTGCCGAGCTGTCCCGTCCGAGAGGGAGCAAAAGAAAAAAAAAAGAAAAAAAAAGAAAAAAAAGAGGTTACATGCATTCAGTACTCACCAGTCATCAAACCTGAGACTGCAATGCCTTCATATTACACTTAATATTGTTTCACAGTGCTCGACCGCTACGTAAACGCGGCTGGACGATAGGAATGCCCACTTCGTGTCGAAACCATGGACGGGGGTCGGTTCGGCACGGCGACTCACGACAGATCCCTCCCAGTCTCCCAAGGAGAAGAAGGGGAAAAAAAAAAAAAAGGAACATACAATAAAATAAAATAAGCGTAGACAGGAGAAAAAAAAAATCACTCCATTCGCCTTTAAAAGACTTATTGGTGTATATTTGAAATTTTTTACTAAAGTCGGGCCATCTCTTCATTCCCCCGATGTGGTCACATACTTTGGGACAGGACTAGATTATGGGCTCGTTAAAACTGTTTAGACCAGCCATAGACTTCAGTCCTCACCGGTTGTTGATATCCTGTTCTTTAACAGGGGTAACTTTGTCTCGAGAGCCTACTACGGAGCAGCCTACCAGGCATGTACAGAAGCTCTGGGAACCCCCAAAACCAAACTGCTATAGTTACTCCGTATGGTGCTGAGTCTTGCTTGCCTCCTGGTAAGAGGTGCGGGAGAGAAAACTCTGCATGCTTCACTGCTCATGTATAGTTTCCTAGCAGAGAAAGCCACATACAGAATAAGCATTGTGTTAGTTAATGTAGTACACCTCATTTTCTATTAAGATCTTGAGCACAAGAACTGATGGGAACTCATTAAGAAAAGCTTGTCGCCTTGTTTGAGACGAGCCTCGCCCTTGAGTGTTTGACATGAATAACATAGACAGGGTACATCTGCGTCGCGTTCATAGAGCCATCTCGGCCCTCTCTTTCGCGAATCGCGCCGAGCGTTGCAGGCTGAAGAAAATCTTGCACCAGCGGAGTCCCCGCCTCAGTTATCAACCAACCCCAGGATAATCAACCTGGCCTTCTGATACGAATTGCACTCTGGAGAGGAGGACAATTTCCGCACAGTTGATATATCATTGTTTCTGCGTCTTATAAAGAATTTGTCATTACAACACCAAGGTACTCAGCAGCTACATTCTACTATCCTAACGACCTTTTAAGTGCTGATGCCTTTTCGGAGCTAGATTCTGATTTTCGCGGTCGAATTCTAGTAACAAGGCAATGTAAATATAACCCAAGCAATAGATCATAGCGTGATCAATTGGCGAAAAGAGCCCTTTCACATCCTGTACAAGTGCTTAACGCTATGCCTGAGTTGTTTCTGTTCATCAAAACGTGTGCATATTAAGATATAATTGAAGTTAGATGATACTTATTGCTCATCTTATTATACAAATCTGTGTTCACGAACGAGAGCTTGCGGCAATGGCTCGTGCTCCAATGAATCAATCCTAAGTGTTTCCTGTGGTGTTAGTTCCCGGATCACAACACCGCTTTCCTGTTGACCGGGATAAATAGTGTGCTTCAGCGGTGGTTGTTGTGAATCTGTTGGCCAAGAAGGGAGCTGTATTTCCTCCTGTTCCGGCATTGTTCGTTGCCTTCGCTGTTTCTTCATCTTCCACCATTCGGCGGATCGATTGATTACGGAGGCCGCTAGCACCAATGCTGCAGACACGACCGGCGACCACTGGCCCACAGAACTATATTCTTCTTCCACGGGGATATTGGTTTTCAGCAAGTTAAGCTCGTTGAATATGATGTTCGCAACGAATAGGGGTAGAGCGGCGAGGTCGAAGAATAGATCAAAAAACATAATGGGAGCGACGATTGATACCATAAGGAATTTTTTGAGGCCAAGTTTAAATTTCGCTTTGCACATGTAGTGGAATAGAAGGATGTATCCACCGTACCAGGTTTGACAGGCGGCATTGTACGTGCTCTGAGAGAGGCGTAGGTTCAATGAGCTATTTATACACGTCATCACTATCGCCGTGCAAGCATACGAAGGGGTATGCTGACTCCAGTTGAAAGCGACGGATTTCTGCGCCGCCGCTATAATGGGGACAATGAGAACAACACCGAGATTGGCATATGTTCCGAGAAGCTGGTCGGTGGGTATAGCGGTGATTTCGTTTGTTTGCCGCATGGGCGTCTTTGCGGAGAAACATTTATACGTGCATTTGAATAGTGGAGAGACGAGCTCGGAAGTGCTGGTTAAAAGGTCTCCATTAGCAGACCTACACGCGGGCTCCGCATCGGAATGAACATCGAGAAGCAAGGATCGACCGGTAATACAGCCAATTCCAATGAGTCCTCCCCACAAAACAATCACCAGCTTGCCTCCTGATTGCCGAAGCGCGGAGGACCAATGTACCATAGCCGCAAAGGCCATGCATCCGGTCGTGAGTATCGCCCACGCACCAAGAATATCTAGATCAAAAACCGGCGCGCGCGATTTCGTTAGAGCGAGCATGTGAATAGCAGTGGAGCCAGCGTATGATAAAGCGGAGGCGAGAGCTCCGATGACTAGCCATTGTTGATACCGGCCGACAATTCCAACAACGAGTGACACATAGTAGAGAACTCGTGGGAGGGAGCCGTATTGCCCACTGATGGGGTAGACACATATGATGGTGTCGTTATGCCCCTGGGGAATGTTCGATGGGTTGACAAGGTCACGGCGAATCCGCTCGGAGGGATATGTGCGAGTTGGCGAGGCTGATATGCCGAGAACGAGCAAGCATATAAGTGATATGATAGAGAGTCGAGAAAAGGCGATGCGGCCCATCTTTGGGGTTATGAAAGCCCGGCCTTGCGCTATCCGTAGTCTTGGCTATCTCCATTTGCTGCCACTGGACCGCACGTCTGAGAGCCTGGCTTCTTCGCTGGAAGATGCGCCGGACGCAGCAGCTTTATTAATGGCCCCAGCCAAATCCCCCCTCCAAGCCTTTGCACTCTGTTGCGACTTGGAGTGCGGATAGTCCTGGCGGATTGAACACTGACTAGCTCCCGACCAACTCTCTGGACTCTCAACTGGTCCTGGGAATAACCTGACCCCCAAGTCAATATGAGGCTAGGGATTTGAGATGGTCATAGCTGAAAAGTAGGGGTCGACAGTGCGGGAGCACCACCAGTGTCATCTTTTGTGTCTTGAGCCTTATCAACGTCGTCCACTTGGCGATCTGCAGACTGGCTAATAAACTTTCTGAGATCCACCTATACGAAGCTATGATGCTCGTCATTGGTAGGAAAAGCGTCACACAGGATGCACTCCCACGAGATTTCCCACCACATTGGCCCGCAGGATCGGAGAGCCCGACACCCTAAACATCAGAATGCTCACCTCCTGCCAACAGAACGGTCTTTGACGTAAGGGCAGAGCACCACTGCCGCCTAGGAACCAAAGACTTGAGTAAGTATACTCCGTACCCGGGACTCGGAGAACATTGTGGAACGTGAATCTTCTTGCTGGTGCTTGGCTGAATGAAGGCCGTCGTAACTAAACATTCGTGGACTCCGTAAACGACGTTAAGCTATCAAAGCCCAATGCGAAACGCTAAGAATCTATCATCCGCCAACGCCAGCCAAGAACATGATAGCCAAGAAGGCGACATAGTTATGTACGTAATTATTTGCATGAGGAGCCGTTGACGACCATCATCGTAGAAAATGCAGCACAGCCCAGCAAAACCCAAAGAATATCACCACTCCAATCCAGAATATCCATTTGTCTTGCTTAGCTCTCCTCTCCACCCTTCGAATGGTCTCTCCACTAACTCCGAGCGTATTTGCGACAGTATATAGTTTCCGCTGTGTGCCTTTTAGTATTTCTCGCTGCTGCCCCAGATCCCCGAGAACCGCTCGGCCACGATCTAAGAATTCGTCCAATTGTGTATTTGTGTTTGCAAAAAATGACTGCTCTCGTAGTGCGTGTTCTTCGCGGCTATATTGTGAAGGGTCAGTGCCAAAACTGAGGCCCGTGTTTCCGGAAGCTTGGCGCCTGTTGGGGTTCGCAAAAGGAGAAGGTTGTGAAGGGAGGGCGGATTGGGCGTAGGGGTTTTCTGGAGTAGCTGCATGATGGGGTCGACGACCTAACAGCTCACTTCTATTCGTCGCAAGTTGCTATACATATATAAGCCGAGGTCAGTTGGGACAATGTGGAGGAGGGTTCGGCGAATAAAATCTCCAGGACATACCGCATCGTCACGCTCCTTTTTTAATCTGTCAAACTGGGTTCTGTAATCGGCGAGCTCCGCCCTGAAATTCTTCAGACGCTCAAAAGCCTTTTCTTGTTTCTCCGGGATAAGTTCCTTTTTGGAAAGAGATGAATAATCATCAATAGTTCGGGAGAAGGACGCTAGGGATGCGGATATCTGGCCTACCCAAATAAGGAAATTAGCAATCCATAGTATATCAGGTAATTTTGCAGCCTTAGCTGCTTGCTTGCTGTCGCAATTGGAGTTCGCCATCAGACTTACCTTGGAGGGCGGCTGGAGAGGAGGCAGGAGCTTCAGCGAATGCGTCCAGGTCGCGACGCACAGCCGCAGATTGCTTCAGTGCCGCGTTAAAAAGGGAGTTCTATAATGAATCGCATCAGTCGCATACTCACGGGCAAGCCCGGGGTTGGAAGCCGTTTCAATTTGGGAGGATACCATTATACTGGCGTCGGCCGAAAACAATGGCGATAGATATCTAGGGTTCAAGAAGCGGTTTGTCGATATGCCGTTAAAATTTGACGGAGTCTTGACACCAAGCTAATCCACGGAATGTAGCGCTTAGATCCATTGAAACAATCACCTTGTGTCGCCTGCAAGCTGTCCCCAAGCCGCAAGCGGGCGGTATTCTGCCATCTGGCGCCGCCCTTTCTACGTGAAGGTCGTCAGGTAGCCTCACGTGTTGCTCCGGCTTATTGTCGGGCCGAAAGACCAAGGAGCGGGAGCGGTCGGGAGCCGTCCCCATTTCTTCGAAGGCTTCGATGGTCCGGAGCCCTTCAAATTTATACTAATTGCTTTTCTGTCCGGCAATATGATTGAAATCCTTAGACGGACTATCAATCGTACTAACAAATATACAGATACTACAGATGCGTATGCAGCTTTGATACAGATATAGACCTAGAGCTATCCATTTAACTCCGACGTGCAAATCCAACAACAACAAGTGCTAAGAAGTGGAGAAATTATTTGGCAAGCTATTGGAGCATCGTCATGTCATGGTAGACATGGATGACTCCGATAAATTCCCGAATCGTCACTCCGTGAAAAGAAAGAGGCTGTTATTTTGGCGGATATTTGTTCTGGACGAACCACCTATTACGAAAATCTGGTATCAGAGACGTTTCATCAGGAAATGGCACAAAATGTATAGGCAAACTCACCTGCTCACGTAATAATCCAAAAGTCCAGCAGCTCCGATACCACCGCCCCACCACATAACGGTGTCCCAGGTCAACACTCCCTTCAAATACTTTTGATATGCACCATACCCTAATCCGGCACTCGCAGCCGTGAACAGGATTGCGTTGGTCACTAGCACTGGATTCGTCCGATTCTCACACAGCTTCGCATAAGCTCCTTTGGCCTTTTCCTTCTCTCGACCCACAGCCGTCTTGCCTTTCTCTTTGTTCTTGCCTTCACGAGGGTTTTCACGCTCTTCGCGCTGGAGGCGCTCAGCCTGGGTATTTGTTTTTACAGATTGGGATTCGTAGGTCGATGGGACGGTGTTGATGTGGGGGGAGTCGACGTCAACAAGAGAGGAGGTTGTTGTTTCGATATCTGCGACTTCGATTTGAGCCGGTTGGGGGGCGGCCCTAGAGAGACGACGTTAGGACACGCTGTTCACTGGCATCGAGATTTCGCGATATGACGTTATATCCACTTACGCCTGTATTTGAAAGTTAGCGAGGAATAGCTCTCAAGACATTGATAAAGGGGTGCTGTGTTTGCTGGAATTCTTACTTCTTTCGGGCTTTGGCTTGCGCCTCGTGCAGCGGCTTCTGCGTATGACATGGGGGGCATGTAGAGAGGATTAAAAAAGTTGGGTCGTCAGAGGATATTTGTCTGCTCTTGTTAGTAATAGGAGAGGAGAAAAGAATGCACCAAGCGCATCTATATCAAGCCGTAACGGATATTCCTTACTTTTGTGACAAAGATTTGCTAAATTCACCTGCTAATGATTTTCAAATGAAGGACAGTGAGATTCTTCATAGCCCAGTGGGTATGTACCCAGCCCATCCTTTTAATCCCGCTGGCTAGACATAGTGATACCGGGACGTCATGAAAGCTTCCAACTCACTGCATCACGTCATAGGTGCCTCTGGAACCACCTGATCTTCAGCCACAGGAGGGTCCCGCCAAGAATTACGTAACTTGTATTGGCATGTAACGATTCATTCCACGTGACAGGGTGATCGGCTGTCAAGATGGCAAAACGGCGACCTGTGATGTTGGTGCAATCACAGAAGCCATGACAGGAAACTGGGGAATACCTCAATTACTGCAAATTGGTATTTAAATATTCCACTGAACATAGAGAGAGAAATTAGCACAGACAAAGAGGGAATAAAACGGTCGTGGGATACAGTAATACATTTTTAGTACAAATGGAAGAAAGAAATGGGGGAAAACACAGCGTCAAGGTCAATGTCGCTGGCCAAAGTCTAATGGAAAAGAACAACAGAGAAAGGGTAAAAGCATTTCATAGCATAAGTTCAAGAGGGTTCTCGACCACTTTCTTCAACTCTCGCATGAACTCGGCCCCAACTGCCCCATCGACCACCTTGTGGTCAAAGCTTCCAGTGACCACAATCTGGTCGTCCCACTGCACCTCAGTACCCTCTTCCGTCTCCAAAGGCACGGCTACCTTTCGTGTAGTCCCGACAGCAAGTATAGCAGCTTGAGGAGGGTTGATCACAGCAGTAAATCTTTCAACCGCAGGATTCATACCCATGTTGCTGATGGTGAAGGTGCCACCATTGAACTCCTCAGGTTTTAGCTTATTGTCTCGGGCACGCTTGCCGAGATCCTTAACTTGACGCGAAATGCTTTCCAGGCCAAGTCCCTCCACGCCTTTCACGATGGGAGTAATGAGCCCAACAGGAGTCGCGACCGCAACGCTAATATCAACCGTATTATGCTGGCGAATCACAACCTGTCCATTCTGCTCAATCCAAGCTGAATTGACAGCGGGGACTTTGCGAAGTGCGAGAGCACATGCTTTGATGAGGAAGTCATTAACGGAGAGCTTGTATTTGCCGTCTGCACTGGAGTTTAGAGCTTGGCGAAGTTTGAGGAGTTTTGTGACGGACAAAGTTGAGGAGACGAAGTAATGGGGGTTATCCTTCATGGATTGAGTGAGGCGGCTAGCAATGACCTTACGCATTGATGAGGCAGGAATATCTTCGTAGGTTGGGCCTGCAGCAGCACCGACGGGCGTGGTGGGCTGGTATTTTTCAACATCTTCCTTGGTGATTCGACCTCCAGGGCCTGTTCCCTTGAGGGTCTTTATTGGCACTCCACGTTCTAAAGCAAGGGCCTTGGCAGCCGGGCTGATCAAGGGTTCTCTATCAATGGATGGTTGAAGGCGTTCCCCAGTGATATCTGGTTCTTCTGCGGCGGGCTTAGCCTCGTCCTGTGCGAGCGATTGGCCTTCGGCTTCGGCTTCAGGTCCCTTTGAGGACTCGGGAGTCTCTTTTGGAGTCTTATCAGTAGATGGCTTCTTATCGCCGCCAGCATCTTCCAGGGAAAATGATTCGAACTGGGCGATATCGGTGCCTTCTTCAACCATGACGGCAATGGGCTGTGTTGAAGGTCAGAAAGGACGGCAAGAAGAGGATCGACCTTGGAAACTTACATTCCCAACAGAAACATCCTTTTCTCCAGCTTCCTTCAAAATTTTCGCAAGAACACCTTCTTCTTGGAACTCGAAGTCCATTTGTGCCTTGTCTGTTTCAATTTCGACCAGGACGTCGCCTGGTGACAGTGTGTCGCCGACCTTTTTCTGCCATGCGCCGATGTTACCTGCGGTCATTGTGGGCGACAATGCTGGCATGCTGATGATAGTATGGGGAGGATAAGCTAAATCACGCAGTTTTGAATTTAGTTCAGTTTTGATTGTATTTAACGACAGGGAGGTACGGCGTACATTTCGAGGCATAGTATCTCGCAAGGGAAGCGTAGAGAGGCAATTGTGGCCTGGATGGAACAACGTATCAGTGAACGTTTTCGCAGAAGAAACATTAGGGGTACCATCAAGAATTACTTACCGTGCGGCATCGCGCAGTCTGTACACATTCCGCGACTCTCGTAGGGTGGAAGCGGGTCTGGAGACAAGCAGACGACAAGAAGGGAATCGCGACATCACCGCAGCGGAAGCCATTATGGCAGAAGAAATAAATAGGAGAATGAGAGGATGAGATCGCTTGGAAGGATGAAAAGCGATCGTCAAGGTCCGCGCCGGGATCCTATCAAGAAATTCAAACCACGTATGAACAAAGGAAGTTCGACCAGCTTGACACACCGTTTTGTTGAGCTATTAACTCGGAATTGGTTGGTCTCGGCGGATCAGCCTGGGTGGATTCCCACCAAATCATGGCAGCTTACTAATGGGACATAAGCTAGTCCCTGTCCGTGCTAGCGGATTTTGCTGCGCTGTCGGGCCGCGTCGGCCGCTGTATCAAAAGATGCCACTCTCTGGTCATGGGTATCAAAGGCTCCTGGGAAATGGTAGATCGATGTCAGGGTGAACGCATGGTTGACCGTCAAGTCTTTTATCCTGTGTGCCGCCCACATCTCTACTTGTCGCCTTTCAATGCAGACAGACCCTTTAGCGGTGTCTACGGTCCATAAAGGTTGGAGTCTAGCCGCCAATGGCTCAGCGCGATGTGCCCGAGCACGACGTTGTGACCGGCACGTCCCTCTCCGATGAACCCGCCGGCTCTCCCGCAAATAACGAAGCAACAATGGCGGAACTAAATGAGACTGATCCCGTCCCTCACACTACAGAACTGTCGACATCCGCATCCCAAGAAGTGCCTTCGCAGAACGAGCCTTCGAATACCCAAGAGTCTACCAATGATGCAGTTCAAGGGACCGGGAAAGAATCGGGGGACCCCGCCGCTCCGCAAGAGAACATTGGTGAAGAGGGACCGAGCATTCCAGTGATCACTAGCTCTAATACGGCACTGGAGGCTGATAAAGAAAATCAATCCCACCCGAGCCCGATTCCTTTGCCAGCGGAAACAAGGGAACGATCGGACTCGCGGTCCACCGTTGCTACTCAAGGCATGCACCGATCGGCACCGCTTACCTCCGCAGTATTTGTTATCACTGCCCTGGACACAATCGCAGCTTCAAAGGAAGCGCGACGCAGTAAGGAGTTGGGCGACGCCGTGAGCTTAGCCCAGGGAAACATCAAACAGTCTGAACAGCACCCCATTGACCCTGAAATTATCTTTCGACCTTTGGAGTTGGCTAGCAAGACCGTTAGCATCCCCCTACAAATTACTGCTCTAGATTGTATTGGCAAACTCATCACATATTCCTACTTCGCATTCCCTTCCTCCCCGGGCGAACCCAGCTCGGAATCGCAGAATCAACCACCACTAATAGAACGTGCTATCGAGACAATATGCGACTGTTTTGAAAATGAAGCCACTCCGCCAGAAATACAACAGCAAATTATTAAATCCTTGCTCGCTGCAGTGCTCAACGACAAGATTGTTGTTCATGGTGCTGGTTTACTCAAAGCTGTGAGGCAGATATATAACATTTTTATTTATTCGAAGTCCAGCCAGAACCAGCATATTGCTCAAGGATCGCTTACCCAAATGGTTGGCACCGTTTATGATCGTGTACGCCTCCGCCTAGATCTAAAAGAAGCACGACTCCGGGATGCCCAGAGCCAGCGTAACCGCTCTGAATCCGATGCGTCACTCGATCAGCCTAACGATGATGCCTCAAATGAGCAGGATGAGTCCCCTGAAGATGGGCAATCCGTTGTTTCTGACCACCCTGTTGCGAAGGAGCCAAGAGAGAAGATGACTTTACAAAGCTTTGAGACAAATAAAGATGACGCGATGGTAAATGATAACGCGCCTACGATGGTAACTCGGGCAAAGGCCAATCGGAAGGCGTCCCGTTCGGTTCCAGGTGAAGACCTGGATCCGGCAACAGACGACGAAGACGAAATTTACGTGAAAGATGCATTCCTCGTTTTCCGAGCACTATGCAAACTGAGCCATAAGATTCTATCCCATGAACAACAACAAGATCTTAAGTCGCAAAACATGAGATCAAAGTTACTGTCGCTGCATTTGATGCAACATCTTCTCAGCAACCATGTTACCGTGTTCACATCTCCTCTTGCTACCATTAAGAGTAGCTCGAACACCGGTGACACTATGACACTGTTGCAGGCTATAAGGCCACACCTTTGTTTGAGTTTGAGTAGAAATGGCGCCAGCTCTGTACCCCCGGTATTCGAGGTTTGCTGTGAGATATTCTGGCTAATGTTGAGACACATGCGGGTCATGTTAAAGGTCAGCCCAAAAATGCTCCTGAATGCAAGTGTGATCATCTAATAATGAGAACAGAAAGAATTGGAGGTATTTTTCAAGGAGATATACCTCGCCATCCTAGAGAAACGCAATTCACCGATGTTCCAAAAAAAATATTTCATGGATATCCTTGGAAGGTTATCCACGGATCCTCGCGCTCTCGTCGAACTATACTTAAACTATGATTGTGATCGTATGGCTTTAGAGAACACGTTTCAAGGGTACGTGAGCCTGCGCTGGCATGGTTTATTTAGTATTGACTTATTTATAGCATCATCGAACAATTGTCGAGAATATCGAGCATGCCTGTGGCAGTAACTGTACAGCAACAGCAGCAATATCAAGAACACCGTGCGAATACCCCGACTTCTGCCCATGACTGGCACCAGCCGGGAACACTACCTCCGTCCTTGTCAACAGCAAAAATCGATAATATCGCACCTACAAGCTCTCAAAATATACCACCTGAATATGCTATGAAACAAAGGGCTTTGGAATGCCTTGTAGAAATTTTGCGATCTTTGGACACATGGTCTTCACAGGACACGAATTCTTCAAAATCTTTACCCCGCGAACCATTTTCACGAAACTCCTTGGCGATGTCTAGGGAATCTCTTGACACAGCAGCACCGACATTATCGACCGCCTCACCAAGAGTAGATTCTGGGGAACCTTTGACTGGCCAATCGACTCCCGTTGCAGAAGACGATCCCAACGAAATTGAAAAAGCCAAGCAGCAGAAGATTGCATTAACAAATGCGATTCGGCAGTTCAATTTTAAGCCAAAGAGAGGAATGAAGCTTTTTCTCTCCGAAGGCTTTATTCGGTCGGATTCACCTTCTGATATTGCCAGTTTTCTGCTTCGAAATGAACGATTGGATAAAGCTGCTGTTGGCGAATTTCTTGGTGAGGGGGATGCGGAAAACATTGCAATAATGCATGCATTTGTCGATTTGATGGATTTTGGCGATCGTGGCTTTGTTGATGCGCTCCGCGAGTTCTTACAAAGCTTTCGGCTTCCAGGGGAATCCCAAAAGATCGATCGCTTTATGCTAAAATTTGCCGAGCGGTATCTTACAGGGAATCCGAAGTCTTTCGCTACGGCCGACGATCCCTACGTTCTTGCATACTCTGTAATCATGCTTAATACCGACCTTCACAGTTCTAAATTGAAGCGCAAAATGACCAAGGAAGATTTTATCCGAAATAATAGGGACCTGCAAGATGTTCCCCAGGAATACCTTGGAGGTATCTATGATGAAATTGCTAATAACGAGATTGTTCTATACAGTGAGCGAGAGCATGCAGCAAACCTTGGCCAGCCCATTCCGGCTCCGGGGCTCGCCTCTAGAGCCGGACAAGTTTTAGCCACGGTCGGTAGGGATATCCAAGGCGAAAAGTACGCTCAGGCCTCAGAAGAGATAGCCAACAAGACGGAACAGCTTTATCGAAGTTTAATCCGGGCCCAGAGGAAGTCTGCCATGAAGGAAGCACTCTCCAGATTTATCCCGGCTACCTCCGTACGCCATGTTGGCTCTATGTTCAATGTGACCTGGATGTCGTTTTTGTCTGGTCTCTCGGCTCAAGTGCAGGATACCCAAAACCTAGACACTATTCGGCAGTGTATGGAGGGTATTAGGCTCGCCATTCGTGTATCATGTGCCTTTGATTTAGAGACTCCACGAGTTGCGTTTGTAACTGCTCTTGCGAAGTTTACCAATCTTGGGAATCTTCGAGAAATGATGGCAAAGAACCTGGAAGCTCTCAAAGTGCTACTTGACGTCGCGATTAGTGAAGGAAATCATCTAAAAAGCTCTTGGAGAGAAATCCTAACGTGCATCAGCCAACTTGATCGGTTTCAACTACTTACTGATGGGGTAGACGAGGGGGCTCTTCCAGACATGTCCGTTGCTCGGGTAGTGCCTCCATCGGATAGTTCGCGCACTCGCAAATCGTTGCAGGTTCCCCGGAGACCAAGGCCACGATCAATCAACGGCTCGACCCAGTTTAGACCAGACATCGCCATGGAGAGCCGGTCGACTGAAATGGTCAGGGGAGTAGATAGAATATTTACTAACACCGCGAACTTGTCTCAAGATGCGATTGTGGATTTCGTCTGGGCTCTAAGCAATGTCAGCTGGCAAGAGATACAGTCTTCCGGTCAAAGTGAGTCTCCGCGGACATACAGTCTTCAAAAGCTAGTGGAGATCAGCTATTATAATATGACACGAGTCAGGATCGAATGGAACAGAATCTGGGAAGTCCTTGGCGAACATTTCAACCACGTCGGCTGCCATGCTAACACAGCGGTTGTCTTTTTCGCCTTGGATTCCCTTCGACAGCTATCCATGAGATTTCTAGAAATTGAGGAGCTGCCCGGCTTCAAGTTCCAAAAAGACTTTTTGAAGCCTTTTGAGCATGTGATGGCCAACAGCACCGTTGTGACTGTCAAAGACATGGTTCTGCGATGCTTGATCCAGATGATACAGGCTAGAGGGAACAATATTAGATCTGGATGGAAAACTATGTTTGGTGTTTTCTCTGTGGCTGCAAGAGAGCCGTACGGTGAGCAAGAAAAGTCCCCCCTCGCATAGCATTGCCTAATCATCTTATCAGAGGGAATCGTAAACATGGCTTTCGAGCACGTCTCTCAAATATACAACACGCGTTTTGGAGTCATCATCACTCAGGGCGCTTTCCCGGACTTGGTAGTTTGCTTGACAGAATTCTCGAAGAACTTGAAGTTTCAGAAAAAGTCCTTGCAGGCAATTGAAACTCTCAAGTCAACAGTTCCCAAGATGCTTAAAACCCCCGAATGCCCTCTTTCTCATCGCCGTTCCTCTACATCCAGTGCTCCAAGCGACACCGTCGTTCCACTGACGCCACAGACGAGCAGACAGTCAGCGGACGAACAGTTCTGGTATCCTGTTCTAATAGCATTCCAAGACGTCCTCATGACTGGGGATGACCTTGAAGTGCGATCTAGGTAAGGATGAAAGTTTGAGAACTTCGTGTAAATAGGGAAGCTAACCATGCTATAGGGCGTTGACTTACCTCTTCGAAATCCTTATCCGGTATGGTGGCGACTTCCCAACAGAATTCTGGGATGTTCTTTGGCGACAGCTGTTGTATCCTATATTTGTGGTGTTACAGTCAAAGTCAGAGATGTCAAAAGTACCAAATCACGAAGAGCTTTCTGTTTGGCTCTCGACAACCATGATCCAAGCCTTACGACATATGATCACGTTGTTCACGCACTACTTTGATGCTTTGGAGTATATGTTGGATCGTTTCTTAGGGCTGCTAACTCTCTGCATATGTCAAGAGAACGACACGATTGCTAGAATCGGCAGCAATTGTCTCCAGCAGTTGATTTTGCAAAATGTACAGAAATTTCAGGCTACGCACTGGGACAAAATCGTCGGAGCTTTTGTGGAGCTGTTTGAAAAGACCACTGCTTATGAACTCTTTACAGCTGTTATTCCTAATCCTGCGAAGAGTTCGGAATCCTCAAAAGTAGCCGACGATTCAGCATCGGTGAACGAAATTTCAAATGAGCAAATCGCCGTGGGAGATGAGACATCCATCAATGGCGACCAACGACCGGCTACAGCGACCGAAGCGGAAGAAGCCAAAAGCCCCCAACATTCTGCTCAGCTTGAAGATCATGCATCACCCACCGAGCAGCAACAGGCTCCCCTAGCCATTAGTGCTTCACGTCGAAAATTTTTCAACCGCATTATAACTAATTGCGTTCTCCAGCTGCTGATGATCGAGACAGTTAATGAATTGTTTTCAAATGATGCAGTGTACGAACAAATTCCAAGCCATGAACTGTTACGTCTAATGGCACTTCTGAAGAAGAGCTATCAATTTGCGAAGAAATTCAACGAAGCCAAGGATCTCAGGGTCGCTCTTTGGAAGCAAGGATTCATGAAGCAGCCGCCTAACCTCCTGAAACAAGAAAGCGGGAGCGCTGCGACATATGTGAACATCCTTTTCCGGATGTACCATGATGAGGGCGATGAGAGAAAAAGTAGTCGAGGGGAAACTGAAGAAGCTCTTATACCGTAAGCTGTGAATGCGCGATTGCTTTAGGCGATAGTAGGACTAATCCACAGCGTTAGGCTTTGTGCGGACATCATCCGCGGCTATGTCAAATTAGATGAAGAGACCCAGCAGCGCAACATTGCCGCCTGGCGACCTGTTGTAGTCGATGTGGTAGAAGGCTACACAGGCTTTCCACGCGAGACTTTCGACAAGCACGTTGAAACCTTTTATCCTCTCGGAGTGGAATTACTCTCCCGCGATCTCAACAGCGAAGTTCGCCTCGCTCTCCAGTCTCTTTTTCGGCGAGTTGGCGAATGTCGACTTGGAATGAGGCCCGTGTCACCAGTGGAGGCGCCCATGAGTCCGCGCGGCTCGGTGTCGCATAGTTATTTTGGGAATGGCCACAGACGCAGCAGAGGTCGATCTATAAAAGGCTAATTGCTTCTTTGCCACCGTCCTCTTTTAGCACCTCGCTCGCTTTGGCTCTCTCATTTTCTGGCGGATGGGTTTTGCTCTTTTTTACTTTTTCTTCGGTTTTGTTTTGCTCCAACGATGAGATTACCCCCTAATTTCAGCTAGTTGACTGTTCTAGTCGAGTTTACTTTTTTCTTTTCTTGGTATATGGCTTCAGCGTGTATATTAGAAGGGAGATCTATTCATTCTGTTTCTATTTGCGGACTCGCATGAAAAAATAAATACATTTTTGCAGGGAGTTTCGACTCCATCAATCATGCATTTTCTATTGCCATGATATAGCCAAGTGGGCGTGATGAGGATGGTCAACTTAACCGCTGGAAAACTCTCAAGCCATTTGTTCAGCGCCCGAATTTTCGTCTTGACTGCTTCATAGTTAATCCCTCATGGCACCCCGAACCGGACTTGGCCCCTTTACGCAGTTGAGTGGACGCTGCGTACTACCGAACGCAGCGCTGGCCTGAGGAGATGGTCGTCGATGCTGGCTCTCGGCATCGTGTTATCGCAGCTGTGATAGGCCTGTGGTCACACAAAAAGCTGAGTTTTTAAAAGATGCACAACGTTGCTCTGTACGCTGGTCGGCAATGCATGGCCCAATCCGAGCAGGATAAAGATGCATGAGGCAAAGTTTCAGGAAAAACCAAAGATTCTCGGCTCAATCCGTTAATATTCCCATTGAGTGGCAACGAAGCGGATTTGGAATATTGTTCGGATATCAAGCTCAATATTGAAATTTGGCTGGTCATTTAAAATAGACTTTATAGAAAGAGAAACAGCCATGTATAGCATAACTAGGCTATCTGGAGGATTACATAGTACGGATTATACTACTCTGTAGACGTGAGGCGCATAATATTGTGCCGGGTATCTGCACCGACTAGACCAATCCGTCGAAATAGGGGAGAAAATTCTACAGAACATTCCGCATTTGTGGCGTTAATGCTTCTGCAGATGACGATGAGCAATGACCTTTTGTGTGGTTGCACAGCATGTGTGGCCGATTCGAGGAACGACACCGAGGCGAGCATCCACAATCCGACAAAATAAGGTGCAGGATGCGTCAAGGAGGAAATGGCTTGATGATTTGGCTTCTTTCCCGCAGTGTAACCGCCTCGCACTGTGAATACCATATTGCACGGGATACTGTTGCTTGGATCGTTTATCCGGTAGCCACTGCATTAATTCCGGGGATCTGGACCATCATCAGCAAAGAGTGAAGCGAAAAAAAAGTCTGTTATACCGCGTAGTTAGATTCTCAACAATATTTCGTGAATTGTGCCAGGCCGTTGGGTTAGATACCCCATCCTTGTTCCCTCCATCTCTGCTGCTGAGATAGCATTCTTATGCCGTCGAAGTTCTGGATGTTAGGCCTGAAGGGGGTGATTGGACAGCAAGGCACAGCCCGGTGGCTGAGATGGAGTTTGCCTGCTCAACAGCTGGCTGGCAGGCTGACAGCCCACAAGGGTTATGGGTGACCTGGACGCCAAGTACCGGATACTTTGCCCCGGCCCACTTTCCCCCATATTAAGAGTGGAGAGGCTGAGTGGCCGGATGGGTCTGCAGCCAGCGAACGAGCTTTTCTCGGCCCGCGTCTCTGGGCCACCGGGGGGGTCACGTTTGGTACTAGCTACATTGCTGGGAAGTCACTCGAAGAAACAGAGCGAAAGGTGACGATTGAAGCCTGCGCAGGGAGCAGCCTACTGTAAGGCACAGCATCAATCTGCAGTGCAAATGAGCCTTTCAAGCTGCATGGCGAACAAAAAATATTTCTTAGCTGCTGGGCGGGCACTCTGGAGTGGTGGTCGGGTTTAACTTCACTCATAACTGACTGGGATTTGAGTGATGTGTCAAGAGCTGTTTGATCCTTTTCCCACCAGTAGAGATGAGTACAACTGGTTAGGTAGATGATGAAATCTCTTTCTGCTTGTCGTATATAAAGGAGATGAGACCGCCCAGCCTCAGCAACAACATCTGCCGTCAAAAAGTTGAAGCAAAAAAGAGAGAGAGAGAGAGACAGAAAACGTAAATAAGACCAAAAAACAAGGTTGCGATTTGAGTTGCTGACCGCCCTTCAAGGGAAGCTTCACAGCAGGAGAGCCGGCTTCAACCCTGGTCCGGGCTTCTCCACCCAGCAGGGTCATGCCAGGCAACAATTGGCTTCTGGACCTCGAACAGTTCAGCTTCACTTTCTCACTCCAACAAACACAAAACAGGACGCCGAGCCGCACTCAGCATCCCTAACTAGTCTCCTTCTGTCCCTTGCTTGACAGTCACGTTCCTTCGCTGTTGTTCCATTGTTCTCATATCACCATTCTGCCTGCTGGGGCCTGCTAGTCATCTCTCGGCGGTTCGTTTGATTTGACTAACAGTGGTAAGTGCTGCATGAAGTTTGTCTATCATCTGATCTTTGCCGAGCAAGGGCTCCTCTGTGTCTATTTAAGGCACATCCGCGTGTCCCATTCCCCAAGGTTTTTTGCTCCTGTTCCTCTCTCTTTCAATGTCCTTTGGCTTCAGTTGAATTGGTTCATGGGTCAATTAGAAATCCAATGTTATTTGCGTGACACTGTTCCTACCATTTTGTTTGCCATGCTACTGTAAACGAGCTCCTTTCTCACCGATACTCCCTTGCTCCCATAGATGCCGAATCCTCATCCTGACCCGTCTCTGTCTTCCTTCGACGAACCTGCGTCAAACAAGAATAGTTCTGCGGGTGAGAGCCGCGATTCGGGTCCTGACCCTGTCTTGACTCCGTCAACAGTTTCTTCAGCTCCTTCTTCCCAGCCAAACGGCGAGGTTAACGGCCATTTAAGTCAGCCAAACATGCCAGACGAAAATGCAAGCTCCCCCGCGGCCAATGCCGACGGACTAGAGAAGAAGCAGGAAGCGGGCGCCGAAAGTATGACCCCAAAAACAGACGCAACCCCAGCTTCCTTGTCCACCGCAGACAACGATTCGAAGAAGCCGCTCTGCAAGAAACACGGAGTTGTTCATGAGATCAAGTCAGAAAAGTCGAAAATGAAGAAGAAAGCCGCGGATTCATCCTCCTCTGAGAGTGAGAGTGACGACGATTCATCCTCCGAAGCTTCTAGCTCTTCCTCTTCCTCTGATACTTCCGAATCGGATTCTGACGATTCTTCTGATTATGATTCCCACAAAAAGTCGAAAAGAAAGAAGAAGAAGAAGAGGGCCAAGGAGCGCTCCAAAAAATTGAAATCGAAAAAGAAAGCTAGAAAAATAGAGACTTCGTCTTCCGAAGACGACAGTGATAGCGATGGAGATGTCTCTTCCGAAGATGAAAAGTCTAAGAAATCCAAGGCACGGGCGAAGAAGAAGGCCAGAAAAGCCAAGAAGCTTCAAGAAGAAGAGACAGAAGATGGTGGAGAGGTAGACGAACCTGAAACACACAGCCGTGGTGCTCAACGGGGAAGAGGTGGTCTCCAGTTTCGGGGTGGAATGCGTCCGCGTCGCAAGCTGAGACAGACTGGTTATGTGGATAACAAGCTTCTCGCCGAGCAAACAGCTCAGCAGGCAGCATTGTTACAGCAGCAACAACGGGCTCTGCAGAAGGCATCCAAGTCAAAGAAGCAGAAGCGTGCATCCAAAGTTGCATATAAGCGAATTGATCAATGTGAGTTTGTCTCCATTGGTCCTACATGTTTTATCGTGCTAACGTGTGATTGACTAGTATGGGATAACACCCTCCACAATTACAAATTGACAGAGACAGTCAAGGATCCGGATGCAAATGAATGGGACCAGTACATCTTCACTGTGCGCCGTCGGTTTGACTGGGATAACAAATATCTCGAAACACTTGTTGACATTAAGAGTAAAGCTCTCCGAGATGCGTTGGCCCATGTCATGGATGGTGTTAAGAGCGTCAGTCTCGTTCAAGACACCCCGGCTGTTGACCCCAACATGCTCTTCCTCTATCTAGAAGAGTGCCGTGCATACGTAAAGGAGCTCAAAGCATCCGCAAAAACAGCAGATAAGAAGAAGGTTAGAAGGCAAACAGAGTTGAAGGCGGCACACCTAAAGGTTCTGGTGAAGTACCTCGACAAGGATTATGCAGAAACGAAGAAAACATTGTATCCGCTACTGGAGAACAACACCATTACTTTTGATCTCCTCTGGGCTCTATTCAAGCCGAATACCGTTGTTTATACTCCTACTTATGGAGCTGTCGACGAACCCCGCGCGTTTAAGCTAGAATATGCCAGCAAAGAGAGTTCGTTCATGAAGGGCCAATGGTACTCCATTGAAGGACGATATTTGGAGTACGACGGTAAATCGTTTGGCATGGGTACTATGACTAGCGAAGTCGATTTCTTTAAGGGCCCTCGAAAGATCACTAGCCTTGCGTGCTATCCTATCCAGTACCATCGGGATGCTGAAGGGCTAAAGTCCAAACTCGTCGAGCGCGGCAAGAAATTTGTCTCTCTTCAGGGAATGAACTATCGCTTCCATCAAGGCATGGCTTTTTTCAAGAAGCGTCGTTCGATCATTAAAGTAAACATCAATGGGCGTGTGATGGTGGATCCTGCGCTACATCGCCGAATCAATCCGAACTACCCTATTAGCACCGTTAAGCCGAAGGATTCAGATCTTCCAGAGGGGTCAAGTAGCGACAGCGATGACGATGGCTGCTGCTGTCTTGGTTCCTCATCAGAGTCGGAACGGCTAAATCGCGATGATACCCCTCGAACTAAACTCAAGGTTGTTCACGATAAAGAGGGCAAACCTCATCTGGTTGAAGTCGAGATCGATGAAAACGGCAATGAGATTATGAAGGAAGATATTGACAAGATCAAAGACGGTGCTTCCGGGAACGGCGACATTGATTTTACCGAAGAGGAGCTTTTGATTGCAAGTCCCGTCGTTTTGGGATTTGCTTTCAGCGAGAAGCTCTGGCTGGAATTCACTATCTCTGGAATTAGAGAAATTGAATGGAACTCCGGCGCCTTCGATTCTCTAGTGCTACCAGGGAATCAAAAGTCAATTGTTAAGGCTCTTGTGGAGTCTCACACTTTCCATGCAGCGGAAAATATCGAAGATGTTATCCAAGGAAAAGGAAAGGGTCTTGTTGCTGTTTTGCACGGTCCTCCTGGTACTGGAAAGACTCTCACTGCAGAAGGCATCGCAGAATTACTTAAGCGTCCACTTTACATGGTGAGCGCTGGTGAGCTTGGGACCGATTCGCGCACTCTCGAGGGCGAGCTGAACAAGATCCTTGACATTGCCCACTCCTGGGGTGCGGTTCTTCTCCTGGATGAAGCGGACGTATTTTTGGAGAAGCGTACGATCCAAGATATCCACCGGAATGCTCTAGTTAGCATTTTCTTGCGATTACTTGAATACTTCCAAGGCATCCTGTTCCTCACTACTAACCGTGTGGAGACATTCGACGATGCATTCCAGTCGCGTATTCACGTTGCTTTGCGCTATGGTGACCTGACGGCCAAAGCTAAGCGTGCTGTCTGGAAGATGTTCCTTGATAAGGTTCGCACGAAGGAGGGCCTTGAGGTGGTTAAGTTTACGGACAAGGACTATGATACTCTTGCCAGGCATGCCCTAAACGGCCGACAGGTAGATATTTTGCCTCTTATCAGATTAGTGATTTACCGAAACTAACCATGGCTTCAACTTTCCAGATTAAGAACTCCGTTCGAACTGCGCAGGCTCTTGCCCTTAACGAACAGACTGCTTTGTCCATGGAGCATATCAACCGTGTTCTAGACGTGGCTGAAACCTTTGAACAGGATCTCAAGGGCGGAACCGGATACATGGATGCCATGCGAAGCTACACCTAAATTAACCCCTCCAATCGCTTTCACATTTGCACAGAGCTTCATCATAAGATCCAATCACTTGAACCAGCGTGTGTCTTTGATCCTTGCATTAGAGTATTTGAATTCGACATTTCTTTTCAATCTCCTCTCAGCATGATCACTGCGCCTGGGGCTCTCTCTGGAATCCGTGTTCATATTTCTCCGTGCCCTTCCCTTCATCCCGTTCGACTCATTATTGACAAGATGAATTTAATGCCAAGCTGCTTTACCCATGCTCTAATGACTGGGTTTTCCTGTTCCGTCCGCGTGATCTTTATTTTACCTTGTTATTTCGTGATGTTTTCTTTCTATGATGTTCTATTCATGATATGCCTTGACTTTCTGCTTGCTTGCCTCCTTTGCTGTGTGCTCTGTAGTTTGCTTGGGGATATGGATTGGGAATGGAACGGAGAAATGGGGAACTTTCGAATGTATTAGGGATTCATTTTCTTTTTTTTTTTTTTTTGGAGAACTGATTTTTGTTCTCTTGCCCCCTTTTTTCTTATTAATATGGCTGCTTTCGAGACATGTGATTGTTGTTTGCTGATGTTGACGTGGGTTATGACGAAGATGCTTATCCCTTAATCTGAAGCATAATAATATAATCTCATTCTGCGGTTGCTACTTGACAACGACAGTTGATATTCTCAGTATATGTATGAGAGTATACAACATTGTCTTTGATACCAATCTTCTAAGCTCAGGGGCACATATGGAAGAACCAAATCCAGGTCAGTGTTGCAGCAATACATGGTTAGCTAGATCTGAAGCCAGCCAGTTGCTCTTAGTACCTGTCAATATTTGCTTTCAAAATCTCAATATTTCAAGCATTGAGCTAAAGGTTCTAACGATCACAAACTGATATTAGCACCGCTGCTCGCTGAAAGTATTGTGAAGGCCGGAAGTCAATCCACACTTTCAACCGGGCAATAACTCTTGTAATTGCTATATTCCTGATGGGAAAAAGTGATTAGGAAGAGTACATCATGGGCTTCTCCCCCAATAAATTGCTCCAGCACCCACCCTCCTTTGCTGAAAGCAACTGTAGGCATCTGTAGAGACCAAATAAAGAAACAAGGTGTGGTATCAAGCTCAAAGCTTACAGTTAGATAACAGGCCGCATCCGTAGTGCAGCGATCAGGGTGCACATTTTAAGCAAACCCATTGTTAATACTGAACCACAGCGGCCAAATTCCGCCTCAGCAGATCTGAAGCATAGAGACTCCTCGATATATGCCAAAGCGATATCACAACAGAGCACCTCGCTTAGCTTTAAGTGTTCCTCTCCAGGGCACGTGCCACTATAAAAAGGCCCTTGAGCTTTCACATTTTCTTTTCTTCGTCCCTCTCCATCGCGTTTGTAGCCTTTGTTTTGTTTTTACCTTGTCGTTCAACCGCGTTCGCACGCACTTTTGCACCTTTCATATTTCACCAGATCACTTGATAACTTTATCAGCTCCAATTGAGCTTATCATTTCGTGGTGATGTCTCCATTCACTGCCATCAACTACCCAGGTGTCGAGGACTCGGCTATTAAAATGGAAGAGGTTGAGAACACCAACACTGGTGATGTCTCCGACGAAGGTGAAATAAAATCAGAGGACAGGCAGGAAGAACAGGCTGATGATGGTCCAGCAAAAGAAAAAAAGGTAAAGTGGCTTTATATAGGATATGTGTGTATATATGTAAAATATATATATATACACATATACTTCTTCCTGTTGCTCGAATAATAACTCACATCGATAATAGGGTGAGAAAGAGCCCAAAAACCCGGCTACCCCACGCAAGCGTGGTCGCAAGCCAGGAGTTAAAAAGGACGCTGCCATCAAAACTGAGAACAGCGATGAAGGCAACAAGGAAAACGTCAGCCCTGACAATGACGGGTCTCCTCAAAAAAAGCAGAGGATGACTCCTGGTAAAAAGAGCCGTCCGATCCCGACTTCCATTGAAAACGCATGCGAGGAAGACAAGATGTTGCTCCGTCTCAAGGACAAGGAAAACAAGAGTTGGTCCGAAATCGCCAGTGCATGGACGGAGATGACCGGAGAAGCGACCAAAGGAACCACGCTTTCAACTCGTTATATGCGTATCAAGGCTAATCTTGCCGTTCTGTCTAAGGACGACGTAAGTCTGGATTTGGCTGTTTATCCTATTTGGTTTTGCAACCAGATCTTCTAACCAAAGACTGCGGTAGGAAATTCTCTTGCTCAAAGTGAAGAAGGACATGGAAGAAAAGTTTGAAGCAGAGAAGTGGCAGCGAATCGCGGAGTCCATGGAACAGACCCGCGGCGCGAAGTTTCCACCTCTCACTCTCCAGAAGAAGTTCAAGGAACTCGAGAAGAAGGGAAATGGAGAAGAGGCAGTCTAAATGCTTTGTAACAATCTCTACATGTCAGACTGTGCTCAGTTTGGAAGTTAATCTATGCACCAAGCCTTTGGTTTGCGCTCTGGTTTGGGATGTGATGGTTGCGGTCGGGAGTTAGGTTACCTGATGCGGGTTTCAGAGAATTATGGAGTGGAAAGGATCCTGGACTTGAAGTTAACTAAAGTGAAAATGTCAGCTCCATTTTCTGTGCACAAAGAGCTTGGTTCATCCAGCTGGGCTGGCTGGTTAGATAAAACCCACCAGTTTGTATAATTCCAAGCTCCTTTTCTGGGGAACTGATGACATAGTTAATTACTGATACCTTTCCCTCTATCCTCCATCGCTCAACCGAAATAGAGTAATTTTATATCGAACGGGCTGGCTGCTCTATTTAGGTAAATAGCTCAATGTGGGCATTGGCCTGCATCTGCAATGCCCAGGGAAAATTGATGCCCTTGTCACCATCTCCCGCCAAGCATTACTTAGTTAGTTAACCAACGCGCTCAGACACCTAGGGTTCATTCACCCCTAACTTCTGAAAACACCACTTACACGAATATGCCTAATTAATATTCTCAATACTCATGGGTGAATTGGCGAATTGCCATGCACTGCCCGGGTATCATCTCTCAGAAGAACAACATGACGCATCGCGGCCAAACCCCGAACGCGAGAGGTGGAAATATGAATGTCCAGTTAGTTATTACAACTGAATCACCAAGAAGACCAGTGGGGCTTTCACGATTTGGCGGGTGGAAATGCGCTGGGAGAGCTTGATTGAAGCACTTCTGTGTTTTCTGAAACAAGTATCCGAACCAGCCACAGGTTACTCACACAACATATCTAGCAAAGAGATCACTCTCCAGGCTTTCTCTGTTATTGTGGGCCGCGATGCTCGGAGAAGAAAAAGCAACTTGCTAAAAAACAAAAGTGGCCCAGATCTCTCTGATCTAAAACATGGATGCACATACGGCCTGCGCGTCTCTTGTGCCGATCAATCCAGCTCCCATCGAATCCACTTTGTCGGCACATACCTAGTCATAGTGATAACAAAGGCACATAAATGGTCTGCAGGATATTAGCGGCCCTGAAACAATAACTTTGGCTGGCAGTTTTTATATTTCCTAATCGGATTTTCCGAACTGATCCCTCCCCTAGCTTTATGGAAAAGGCTGAGGTTCACATCATGGCGAAGCAATTCCCTTAGAATTGTTTGCCATCTAGTCTTCTTCTTCTCGTTGTGGAGCAGTTCAGAATGGTCCGACATATATACCGCTCCGAATCCTAAATGCTCCGGTTACACAGCGGGTATCTCAGGCTGAAACTTGTTTGCTGTGTTTTGTGTTCATGATACTCAGGTTTCCTGGCGTTTAGGCCACAGCCTGTGCATTATAGTGGGAAATGTACATTTTTAATGAATAGCGGAACGGATCCATGCGCACCACATTGCCATGTGCGTGGATCAGATTTATTTGGAACTTTGCATGATCCGAGCCGGCATCCGGAACAATTCCACGCTTCTAAGGGATGGTCGAGGACTCGGGAGCTCGCAGCCGACATCCCATCTTTTGGTGGTATGTGGGATATCAAGTTTCTGAGTTAGACTTGAGTGGATATCAAGACCCATCAAGCGCATCTGGTATCGTTTCAGGTTTGATGCGTTAGGATAGATCACCCTGGATGATGCTGTTGCAAATCAGGGAAACTGTGCTCACGTTTGATTGCCTGACACCTTGCTGTTTACTGAGAAATAATCAGTCCTCAAAGTCAGCAGGGCAATGTTGTCCTAGCATGGAAAAGTCGGTGAGCACCAAGACGGGATGTTCTCATTGCCATGGGAATTTTGCCAGGGAATATAACATTTTGTATTCCTTGGAGACCTGAGGTTGTTTGCTTTCCGTTCCTTGCTTGTCTATTCAACCTCGTGAATATATTTGTATCTCGTGCTCGATGAGCGCCCACCTTGTGGGAGTCGAAAATGCAATGTTTGCTTTTCGATACTACGAGAGCCGCACGCCGCTGAATCGGTTTTCCATAAATTTATAAGAGCAACGGGCGTTGACTACTTTGTTTTCTTCCTCCGCGGGGAAGTTCTTGTTCTTTGCAAATTGGAGTTACTAAGAGAAAAAGAATTCTATATAGAAGGATATTACATTTATGCCCCTGACCCAATTCTCAGATTCCACGCGAGAAGAGACCGCCCACGATGGCACTCACCCTCAGACGCCACCATACATATGAGTACGGCGCTTTTCGGGAGATCCTCGAACTTCATGTCCCGTACAGTATCATCCGAGAGTACATCCCCGGCATTCTAAATTATATCGTCCAACCCGGATCATCTCGTCGTCCGCTGCAAATAGATATCACTTCTGTCCTCGCGCAGGCGCCCTTATTAAGGTCAGGACCCATTCCAAGGAGTGCATACAAGCGCTGCCTAAATGCTCTCCTCGACCAACTCCACGACCTCCAGTTCTCTGTGAGAATGCCCCGCATCATGGCACGGCTCATGGAGGATGTTCGAAGAGCACAGCGGGGAGATTGGGTATCCCTTCTCTGCACTTTCGCATGCTACCGTGACCTTCTTGACCGAGATCGGCTTCACGCAACCCAAGACCTCTGCGACGATCTAAGACTCTACGTCCTCCAAATGCTCCACAAAATCGCCAAAAATGCTGACCTCTCTATATCGTTAAGCTTTGTCGATCTACTGGAGAAAAGGAGGTTCCACGAAGGCATGGAAATCCTCTGGGAAGCGCTATCGCGTTCGAGAGTGCGGTGGTTCGACCTCTACTGCTCGCGTGGAGAGATCGACCTTTATCTATCGGGGCAGCCGTCGAGGCGGATCATGAAATATGTACGGCGGAAGCGGCTTACGGAGCAAGAAGAGTTATCCCCGCCCGCTTTGACCTTTGGCTTGGCTCAGGCAGCCAGGAGAAGGCGCTTTCGGAACCCGTATGATTCGGATGACAGCATTGATGGCTCTGGAGTTATGGCGAGGGGGAAGGAGAGGACGACAGCTTTTCCAAGACGAGGGATTTTGGAACTTTTTTTGAAGCCTTACGGCTAATCCTGACTAGAACTGAAAGCTCAAGAGCTGGTTTTGTTCCTTTTACTGTCGTCCACTTGTCAGAGAATGAACATTCTTTAATTTGTTCTTTAAATTGCTTGTTTATTAGTACTTCACTGATGCCAGCTTGGTGGGGAATATGTTTGAGATAATCATTCGTCCATACTAGATATGCTTTGACTTGGTGATATGTACTCTTACAGTTCGAAAAAAAAGGGGGGGAAAGGGAAGGATACAACATTCCTTGCCCGACCACGCGACCTATCTCTCGTTTAAAAAAGGAAAAACAGAAGAAAAAAAAATGGAAAGAAAACAGAGCGTACTCGTACATAAAAATAGAGGCAACTGGGGGAAAAAAAGAAAAGTCGTGTCATCATAAAAACATCATTCCGGAGCGACAGCGGGGGCGAACCTACATGCGTAGATTCTTCATCTTCTCGACTGGCGGATCCTCTTCATCGAGGCTTGTGGAGTCCTTGCTTGTAGGCCTCCCAAAGCCCTCGATGATGTCCTTAGATCCCCTGCGAACCTGGTCCTCGCTGTACTGACGGCTAGGTGCAGCAGGACGGACCTTTGTCCCCACAAATCCACGGCGGTCGCGCCCCTTACGCCCCCGGCTAAGCCAGTTGTGCGTAAGGGCCTTTCTGAGCTCTTCAACTCGCTCTTGTGCATGGTCATCGGTATGAACCCGGCCAATAATGCAAATGCACTGAAGGATTCGGCCGACGATTTCTGTGATGACGTCCGACCCGTCTGCAGGGTTTACAAAGAGAGAGGACTGGAAGACCGGGTGGTCAGGGTTGGAGGACGTGTTGGATTCGGCCCGTGCACGAGACATGGTTAGGTGCGATTCTGAAGACTGGCTGCCGGCGATATTCAAGGTAGTTGAGGACTGTGAGTTGTAGCTTCCTGCCTCAAAATTTGGAGCCGTTCCAGGGCGACTAGCACCGCTATTTGAAGAAGTTCCCAGAACACCAAGACTGGCGTTGACGCGTTCGAGCCTGAGGCGAGAGAACATGGCTTTTAAGGCCTCATACCTGTTTAGAATGATATTATCGCGGAAAGAAATGAGAATGATATCCCCCACGTTCAGTTTGGCTCCAGCAGATCCACCCCCGGGAATGATGCCCCAGAATTCTCTAGATTCGTGAGCTTCCATTATTTTTCCGCGTCCTTTGAATTCGAGGTCGAGTGGGAAGAATACAGCTTGAATAAATGGATAGATAGTTCCATACGTATAGGTCCACACTTGAACGAGATGGGGCATAAGATTTTCATCCGGGATGGAGCTGAGAGTCTGATTGAGGGATGCAAAGCCAGTTTGCAAGAGATCGCGGAGGTCTTCGACGAGAACACTGGGCACTCGACGCTGGAATGATCGTAGGATATGGACGGAGACGAGCTTGTTGAGGTCTTCAATGGCAATGCGAACTTCTTCACCTTCGAAAAGAACGAGGAGTTTTGCTTTGAGAAAATCCCACGCGTCTTCAAACGCCAAGTTCGGGATGCCGAAACTGCCCAAGGCTTCTCGCATTGCAGCTTCTTTACTTTGGATGGACGCTCCAGGAACGCCGGTTCCAATAAACGTGGACCACGCGGCAACGCCAGTTCCCATACTGCCAGAGAAATCGGGCTGGTCGGTGCTGGTGGCATCCTGCGACGCTGAGGCTTTCTCTTCCATTTTCCTTTTTTCGCGTAAAGCTCGACCGCCGTGACGGAGATCAAGGCCACTGACAGATTTGCCGAACGACGTCGCAGAGGGTGAGGATGGTGTAAACGAGTATAGAGACTGAGGGGCACTGGGGTCTAGAGGTCTTGAGTTACTGTTTGCCGAAGAGAGAGGTAGATGAAAGTGATCGTCTTTGTCCTTCAGCTTGAGCTTTGGACGCGACAGAAAGTGGTGCCTATGCTTTTCTTTGTCCTTTTCCTTTTCTTTCTCGATGGAAGGCTGCTTCTCGGTGGGAACAACAGTGGCAGAAGAGGAGTTGGTGAAGTTGTAAAGTGAGGAGTTGTTGATAGGAACAGGGTCAACTAGGCTTGGTGTGGAAACATTGACCATGCGTGACAGCCCACTTGGGCCTAGCTTGCTCGGCGAGGCGGTTGGCTTCTCACGGCGGTCACTGTCTTTGTCTCTTGAAATTCCGATATGTTTGGGCTTCAGGAACGACTTCATCTTTGACTTCTCTGCTTTTGGTTTCACACTGGTACTCTCCTGGGCTGGCGCTGGGCTGGGTGCAGCTGGCTGAACCCGAGGAAACACGAGATTTGCTGCCGTGGTGGCTGCAAAAGCACGCCCGCCTGATGCTCCACTATGATATTGGAAGGATCCTGCTCCGTCAGAAGGACCCTTTTGTGTACTTGCAGCTGCAATTGCACCCGCACCCGCGCCCGCACTGGTATCCTGATGTGGAGGGATGGTCGAAGATCGATTACGCAGCTGCTGGGACGTTGTTTGGTGCTGCATCGCGGTTTGGGCAGCGATCCTCGAAGCGGATATGGGCGCCATGGTTGTGGTCGTCCGTTCCGACATGGATGCGGTGGGGAGACTTGGCTCGAAGAATCCTTGAGAGTGTTGACGACGATGTCTTTGTGGTTCGTTTGCAGCTGCTAATGGGGAGGGCCTTCTCTGCACCGGCTCGTTCTGCGGCATCAACGAAGAGGACGAACGTAGAAAATTCGGAAGAGAGGTGTTGCTGCCATTGGCGCCGGGAATATTTGCTGAAGCCGACCGAGAGCTTCCGGGGCTAGGGAGCTGGGGGCTGAGATTATACAGGGGCCGTTTCGGGATGTTAAGAGGAGGAAGAGGTGAGGAGTCAGAGGCAGCGCTACCGGAGGAGCTTGGACGAGGAGATTGGTCTGTTGCGGCGGAGTGCTCTGGAGAAGCGGGCCCAGCAGAGCTCACTTCCCCGCGTTGGCGGCCGGTCGAACCACGGCGACTGCTCCTCATCATGGGAGCCAAATCGCTAAAGATGGTCAAAATTCAAAGGGTAGACAGGAGGAGGAGGGCCAAATGGCATTGAGCAGCAATGCAGAAATGAACTTATGCGATGGAAGAGTGGTAGTGTCAACATGATCTGAGGAGAAACAAAGGCGAAGCCGCCCTGTCAGTTGCATCTGTTGTTCAGCGACCACGCTAGCGATCACGCTAGATATCACGCCAAGGCGCTGTTGGCGTTCGCTGCTCAGCCCTATCCCCATCTGCCGGAAGCTACCGCTCTTTGGTTTGGTTTGGTTGGTTTGGTTGGTTTTAGTCATACACTGTCCCAGCCGCCTATTGGGCAGCTATGCAGGATTGCGCTAGCCTTTAAGAGGCTATGCATCTATATTACATGCATTCTTTCAAGTTCATGATCTAATATCCAGCTCAGCTTCTCCTAGTATATTCTAGAGATCTCCTGGGCCTGATTTTATGGTGCTGTGTATCTAATAAAACTCAGTGCTGTAGGGGGTTGAACCCCTATTCCTCTCGGGCCGAGCTCCCCGATGCCATGCCATGTGAGAGACCTCCATGCTATTCCCCTTCTGGCCTAGTGTGCAAGACTTGTTTGTAAAGAGTCAGTTTGAGATGCTTATCTTATCATTATTAACTAACTACATAGAGACTAGTGTCTCGATAGATGGGCAGCAGAAAAGTCACAATTTCTGCTGGTGTCCAATTATTATTATTGGAATTTAATACTACCGCAATGGACATAGATGTCTGACATATAACACTCAAAGGCAAAAGCCAGGTGCATTTGACATTGTCCTGCTCAGGTGTTATATCTCTATTAGTTTTCACAGCATGTAATTCTGTGGCCACTACCTGCTCGGTATTGTCACCCTCTCTGTGAACCGAATTTTTCTTCTCTGCCTGCCCAGCCATGTAACAAGATAGCGGCTAAACTGCATAGTGGGTCACATGAGATGTGGTGTCAACATGATTGGCCACCCGAACAACCCCACTCTGTCGAGACCTGATGTTCAAAATTAGGAGTCTACGGAGTACAACCACTGCTTTATTTGGCCCATACTGTTGCTCAAAAATACTTGCCTGAACTCTCGATATCGCCCAATACCGAGAAAGTATGATGATTAGCCAACCCACCCCGCAGATGGGCCTCCAGCCCCAACATACGTTGGTGCTGTGATTATCGATGATTAGAGATGAGAGGACATGGGAAGAAGATTCGCCCGGAGCCATTGTATGTCGGGAAGAGGATCACAGATCTCCTCCAATGTTCTTTCTAGACAGAGTTTGAGGTTTGCCTTGAATTGCTCCATGACACAGAGCATATGGCAATATCCAGAGCAAAGAACAGGGGTGACAAGAAGGGAACGGAAGGGAACAGAAGGGAACGGTACTTAACTAGTGCCCCCCCGGGTTTTCTCTTATGTTCTTGTAGAAACGCTTATCACTCCTATCAAATTTTACTCGAGTTCATTTTGTTCCATTTCCTTGAACCTTGTGTAGCACACTGATTTCAAAGACTTTGCATTGTCTGTGTGCAAAAATTTCCAGCCATGGGCAACGAAACATCCAAAAGTGACAACAAAGGTCGCATTATTACCATTTCTGCCCCGCAAGGAGGATTGCAGATGGTCCCAACTCCTGAGCGCGACCCGCAGGGTGCTCCCGTCCGCCATCGCGATTTTGACATCAACCGTGCCAACCTCTTGGTCGCTTTTCAACATATGGCGGAGTATCTTCAAAGTCAAAATGCTGATGTCACCGTCGTTGCGGTTGGAGGAGCAGTCAACACAATCTACCTACAGAACCGAGAGGTTACTCACGATGTTGATTTCTTTGGCGGCAATGAACAAAGCCGTCTTCTCAAAGATGTGTCAAAATATGCTCAGCAAGAAAGCAAGATCCAACTGGGTGCGAATTGGCTGAACAACGCGACCACTCTTTTTATTCCCTTAGCATTGCAGGCTCGGATTATCCAAGCCGCCATGCAACAGAACGTGGTGCTATTTCGAGAGAAAGGACTTACGGTCTTGGCTGCGCCCTGGGATTACGCCTTTTGTGGAAAGACGAATAGGATGGGTGGACCGGATGAGCGGCCGTATGATTGTAAGGATGCTGTTGGATATCTACGTGAATATATCCTATCAAATGGTGAGAAGCCTGTAAAGGCAAGAGAAATAGAAGAATGGGGAAAGATATATGGAAAGATGGTAACCACTTGTGCACTGAAGCAGATCAGCAGCTCGTATGAACAGGCATATGGACAAGATGGTATCATTTTTTGAAGGGCTATTTATTGTTTTAGAGAACATGGACTTTAGCACAGCTCGGTATGGAAAGAAGGATGTAATCATTGCCATTGTTAGCCATATAGTCTTTTGGCCGTAATTTCTGTGTTCATGTCAAAAACTAGTAGGTTGAAATTTCTACCTACTACTCCGTAGAATATGATGATCTGCCAAGCTTCCACTTTTCATAACCTCCAAGTTTGATAGTCCATCATAAAGATGTGGTGGAGAAACCAACAATGAATTAAGCCACAAATGGAATTGCCAATTTAAGCATTTAACCTTGTGTTCCCATCCTGTGGGAGTTGTATCCGAGCCTATTTCCTCAATTTTTACTGCTACAAAATGAACAATCATTTGTTACCATATCCTTACAATCAAGAACGTTGTCGTCCATTCTTCGGGTATGAGACCTTGGCTAATGTACTCTACGGCTTTTACCTTCGTTTTCGCCCCCCTGCTGCTTCGTCATTCAGTACCAAGCCAATTCAAGTTATTTGCATTTCGGATACCCACAACTCGACCAGAGAGGTTTCACATGGCGATCTTCTCATTCATGCTGGTGACTTAACTCAACATGGCTCATTTGAGGAGCTTCATGATCAACTTCGATGGCTGTCTACCCTCCCACATCCTCATAAAGTTGTCATAGCAGGAAACCACGATCTTCTGCTCGATTCAGATTTCGTTGAACGTTATCCTACTCGCTTTCCCGACCATCCCGGATTATCTGTCTTCAATTCGGACTGGAACGATGTCGATTATCTCCGGGACCGCTGTGTCACCCTAAACTTTTCAAATGGGAGGAGGCTGAACATCTACGGTTCACCTCAGACGCCAGAATTTGGTGTTTGGGCCTTCCAATATCCAGCAATTAGGGATGTTTGGACTCATAGAATCCCGGATAACACGAATGTAGTTGTGGTGCATGGCCCGCCCGTGCTTCATTGTGATGTCGGAAAGAAAGGGGATGGGTATTTGTTAAGAGAGTTAAGAAGGGTGAAGCCACAGCTTGTTGTGTTTGGTCATATTCATGATGGATATGGAGAAGATTACCTTTTTCATGATGGGGTGCAGAGTGCATGGGAAGATGCAATCCTGCAAAGAAGTGGTGTGGTTGCCATATTTCGCATGAGTTTCTGGATGATTGTAGCATGGCTTAAAGTCTTGCTGGGGCTCCCACAGCCCAGCCCAACAAGGTTGGTGAATGCAGCTGTTGCACCGGGAGCAAACAACAGAACACAGAAAGAGCCTATTATATTGGAAATATAATCTTTTTGATCCTCTATATGTTTGAGCTTAAATCAAATAAAATGAATATGTGGCTGCCAGCATAAAATATTCTTCTCTCTGAGCTGCGGACTCGCTCTCTTATCATCAAACGACTCCAGAGTCTCTCCTCCATCGTGGGGTATCTTCAGTATTGCTTGTAGTGGCTTCACGGATAAAGTCCACTGAGGAACTTGTTCATATACTCTTTCCTCATTCCGGTATTCCTCTATCTCCTCCATGGACATAATGGCATCCGCGCGTCTAGGTATCCCTAGTTCTATCCTTTTGTTGAACGCCAATGCCATTAGAGCGGGAATGCACGCCAGAACCGCATATCGCGCTGGTTCGGAATGATCTTGCGGATCCGGAATGGACGAAACAGGCCACCTATTAAACCAAAATCGCTCGAGTTCATTGCGCAGACCGGTGGTGCGGTTGAGGACGAGGTGCTCATAGAGGCGATAGAGGGCGAAGAGGGGGGTATCTGTTGGGGAATCAGGGGGAGCAAGGTTTTCGCGTTGGCTCAGAAGGTTATTGTAATATGAACTTCTTGACAAAAGCTCCTCTGGCGGGGGAGGAGGAAATCTGGGATAGGCATTCGGGTTTGAGGATATCACTTCTGCAGAAGCAGGGTGTCTGCGTGCAAGCTTGATGTGCCCCACCAAACATCAAGATTCAGCAACATTCAGTTAAATACCCTTGTAAAGGGGCTTACATATGAGAAGATGTTCTTTAAATTCATGTCACCAGAACAGAATGCAAACAAGCTGATCTGGTTGTACAAAATTCTGATAGCTACGAGGTAAACTCAAAACAGCTTGGAGAGTGTATGATCTGGGGCGAGGTTTAGAGGCTTAGTCATAACTACTCCGGAGTTAACATAACTAACTATAAAATATCAGCAATGGGTGATCACCCACACTAACCCCCCCCCCATCTAACCGCTAGGTATACTCCGTACTCCATACATGATATCAGACTGAAGACAGGACCTTCCCCAGAATTTCCACAATACCAGCCACAAAAAAGTATGTCACAACCCCCCATTTTGATAATATACTTGTCTAATCATGCCTAATTGCTATTTCTCCAGATCCACTTAGTCACTGCTCTCCAATTCATGGACAAATATCACACCCTGTTTATTCTGGACATCAACAATGACAAATGTGGTGTTCAGAGAAGGTCTAGTTTGGGAGTTATTTGCTAGCAGCTGCCAATTTGTGTCATCACAAACATTATGGAGGGTCTTTGCTTAGGTCAGAGTCAGTTCATTTAATAAAGGACAAGTTTGGACTTTTTCATTTTTTTACCCTACCTTGTCTTTGGTTTTCAGATCTTTAATTTTGCAGATGTGTTCCAGCGGTCAATGTGCGTCCATAGCCCTCTGGCTTCGCTTGCAGAGCCGGAAGGAACATAGCATGTATGACCCCCATAAACGGCGGTACCCAGCTGAACAGGAACCCTCTCAACAACCTTCGAACTCTGAGATGCAATTTGTTGTGCCAGAAATACTCAAGAATTTCGAGTGTCTGTTTTGAATTGCTAACCCTTCGTTGCCATTGGCTCAGAGGACGCGGAAATGGCCTGACAATAACACTTTTTGGAACCATGTTCTTGCCCCCACTATTCACTGCAATGAGCTGAATGCGTATGATTCTGGCAGAAAACCTTGTGTGATGTGTTGAGAGCGGGGTGTAGTGTACATTCCACCAAGTATGATGGCATTCAAGGCCCATCTGCACCACCAGCATGGCAGGAGCCTTTGTAGCTAGTGGACTTTTGATGTAAGCTACAGAGTATTGGGAGCCGAGATGTCCCACGGGGTTTTGTGAGTTCTGTCATATTGTAAAACTACATGCTAAATCATCTATATTTATTCTCAGCATATGTTCTGATTGCACCATGAGCTTTTCACATCCTGGTCATTGGTTGCGATCAAAACTTGGGTTGCGAGCCGTTTCAGACGAACCGAAAGTCAGAAAACCAGAAAGGGAGCCAGGACCCAGCGAGTCTATGGACCGGCTCGCAACCCAAGTTTTGATCGCAACCAAGAGGCCGAAATGTATTGTATTCCGTAAACTGCGCATAACTTGTTGCGCGTTCTGTTCGTAGTTGACTTGTCAATGACCCCTTCATTGGAACAGGATCATGAGTTCCTATGACTGAGGAGAGACAACTTCCTTGAATGGAATTCTGACGGTGATTTCTGAATGTTACCAGGGAGTTGATGATAAGCAAGTTCACCATATCTTTGGATTGCTTGGGGGGTCGTTAATGCCATTTCTTGAAGAAAGTATGATAAACAGTCAAAATCCACATGAGATTAGTCAAAGAAATCCAACTTATTGTTCGGGCTTGTCTTCAATGAAAGATTGCATGCTGAAAATGGCCCCTTGCACTTTCTTCTCTTGTACCCCATGATTGACACACAATTCAAGACAGTCCGTTTCGCCGCGCATTCATCGGTGAGAAAGTGTTGCTCTTAATCAAGTGGGAACTGTGGCTCTGCGGACTTGGATTGACCTGCTTTGGTGCTTTCTTGTCTGTTTTGGTTGAGGAATTGCTGGATTTTGACTGGTGTTGTTCCGTACTGTTCCTGGATAAGATCAATTGAAGCTTGCTGGATCTGAGAGGGGAATCTTTGATGTAATTCAGTCAAGACATCAATAGTGAAAGTGACAGTTGTCGAGAACAATAGTGTACGCGAAGTTCTTGAAGCACTCTATTGCCGCATCTTCAACTTCCTCTCGCGATGCGCATGACCCTGTAAGGGGCACGACACTCTTTGCGGAACTGCGCGAGAGCTGGAACTGGTTGATAAGTAGCTCCGCCTCACCTCCGCCAGACTTGGGATCATTGCCTCTTATCCTGATATGCACAAGGGTTCCGGTCGGGGCAGCCGTTCTATTGGGAATAAACAGAGCCCAATGTGCTCTATCCCTGGTGCCAAATGCAACAAGATGAAGGGTCTGCGGAGCATGTTCGACAGTTTGAGATGATGCTGACAGTCTGGAAGACATACTGAAGTTTTGTTGATCTTGAAGAAAGGGTGCTTGCTGTTCTGGCATGGGAGTGTGGGGTTGGGAGGGGAAAAACATGTAAGCGTCCAATTAGGCAACAAATCGTCGCGACCCGAAGTGAGAATGCACATGACTTTCAATATCCCCGATTGTATATCAAACTCTGGAATTCTAGTCGCTCTGGAATACAGGGAGTCAAGATTTCCATCAGTAAGGGCTTCCACCACTCCTCTCCCCCATAGTCATACAGACATGCAGCAAGTGTGTACTCAACATACTCTGGATAAAAGCTGCTGCGCTCCCAATCCACAATACCTGTTATCTTCCCATCTTTAACAAGGATATTCCGTGGAAAGAGGTCTCCGTGCGTGAGCACAAACCTTGATGGACTTTTCCTCCGTAATTCTGCAAGTGCCTTCCTCCACTTGCTTTTCTCAGACGAGTTCTTTACACGGGAAAGACACCATTCATCGAACCCGGCCTCTGAATCAAAAGGACCCATGAACTTGGTCTCAATTCCTTCATATGGATTGCGGGTAGGCTGGTGATTGACACGTCCGATATATGGTTGGGTGTATGACCTCAAAATCTTTAAATGGTATGCAAGCTGTTCCTTGATTGATGTGTGTTGCTCTTTGTTCAATGTTGGCCAGACCTCATCCAGTGGATTGCCTGGCACAAAGTCGGCAATCATTGCAATCCGATGATTGTCGAGTTGGCGGCATTCCCAGACAGCAGGAGCCAAGAGGTTCTGAGAATGCACATAGGCCATCATATCCGCCTCTGACTGCCAGAAGAAGCCTTTAGTTTTGAATTTAATGGCGACAGGGAGTCCATCTGAGGTGTTGTGACTCTTGATAACATGGTTGCCGAAGTACTTGTATATTGTTTCCCCATCGAAGGAACCATCATAGTGGCGTTCGGAAGGGCTCCTTCTGGATTTGCTATTATTCTGCGATCTGAACTTGTTCATGAGGAAAGCCAGCATTGATGCAAGCTGGATCATTCTCTAAAATAGACAAGAAGAATAAAAAGCTGACGGTTACTGAAATTAGCTTCACGGCAACAATTGTAATGAGTGGCAAGATGATGATCATATTCGACGGAGACCGTCGGATCTCCTGAACTATAATTAGATAGCCAGGAATCAGGCTAGTGGGCTGAGCCTAGTTGTAGAGCAGTTGACCTTCTAGGTATGGAGAAATTTCAAAGATTCGTTCTGAGCTGGGTGAGCTTGTTAGTTACTGCTCTTTGGTTTGGTTTGGTTTGGTTTTGTTTTAGTCATACGCCGTCCCAGCCACCTATTGGGCAGTTATGCGGGGTTACGCTAAGCCTTTAAGAGGCTAGCGCAGCATCTATTACATGCATCCTTTCAAGTTCACGATCTCTAGTCCGGCTCAGCTCCTCCTAGCACGTTCTAGGGGTCCCCTGGGCCTGATTTTACGGTGCTGTACGGAGTATACCCTTAAGCTCCTGCTCTTTCAACCCCAGGTTCGGATTTTATTCCAGCGAAGAGCTGACCCATGGTTCAATCCAAATTCTCTCTCAAGACATGAGGAATATGCACCAGCTACTTCTCCACCAGCCACATCAACGCTCTGTGAACACTTGTGGTTGGCTGTCTTGGGTTCTGAGGGCCAAAATTATCTTTCTATCACTCTGTATGGAGTGCTGGGCATTATGGTTCTTTTGATTATCTCCTGAAGCATCTGCTCTTCGCAGGGAGCTCCTTTTTTGGCTCGTAGCAGGGAGCAATGGCAAGTGAGCTTCTGCCCCCTGGAGCACGGCTGGTCTGCACACCGATCGTACTTCCGCCAGTGGCCGACTTCAGGTCTCCCCGGTGGCGTAAGTTGGGAAACTCACTGCATGAGGATAAGCCCTGGGTCGACGTTGTCCATACGGAAGGGCTACGGAACATTTTCATTTCGGATGCCGACGCCTGAATCTACATCTGCAATAGAGCAAAAGGACCACAGAGGAACTAATGATTTACGTCTTTTTACACCAATCCACATGCTTATTGGCAATAATCTGTATCACTCGGACCTTTCGCGAATGGTCGCGTCTCCAGGTTAGTGATGGAGTGAAATAGGATCTGTTTGATCTAAGCGTGCTTTAACACCTCTCCATATTGTTTTCTTGTCCTTCCTATTAGTGAACTATGCTTGTATTTACCCTGTAGCCCGTCTATTAAGTGAGCCCAAATCCTCTCTGTTGCCTGTGAGCCCTTGCGCAACATGAAGTTGCTAAGCTACTCTCACGTGACTTTGGCTTCCAGAGCCTCCACCCAGCTTATGATGCCCCTCCATCACAATTCAACTTATCCTTGCAGCGAGGACAGCAGCTACCATCAATTGAAGATTAACGATTTCCATAGCATAATGGCACCTTTGCCCGACACACCGGCAGGCAGGCCACCGGTTCTGAAAGCTGCATACCTGGCCCCCGCCACCTCGCCGCCAGACCCAGCTCAACCCCAAGCCCCGCTACAACATACCTTTCAGCACCAGCTCTCCACATCCCTCTCGTCACACACCACGGACGCAACTGCTAGAAGGACCGCTTACTTGTCCGAACTACGAGGCGCTGTGGTCTCGCTGCAGGGCGAGGTCAACGCTTATTTGACCGCACGGATGGAAGAGGACAGCGCTCGGTCAGCCAGAGTAGAGGGGAAAGACGAAACCAAGGAAGAAGAGAATTATGGAGAAGAGGTGGTCAACGAAGAGGAGGATGAAGATTAAGTGACAGCTACACGTTTTCGAGGTCCTCATCAAATTTGACGTGGATTGAAATGCTAAGGTCCGCAGATGAAGCCTTGGATTTGATATGGTTGGGATACGATGAAAAAAGACAACCGGGTATCAGTTGGATCGCGACAATCGCATATTCTCAACCGGAAAAAAAAACAAAAAAAAAAAAAAAAAAAAAAAGAGAATAAGACGAGAAGTGTATATACAGTCGAAGCAAAAAAGTTCCCAGGACGTGATCCAGTCTTAAAAACAATATCAGAGGGCACCGTTCCCAGACAAACCGAGGACAAAAAAATATTCCCTTGAAAAATCCGTGCTTTAAACGCCGGGGCTTCGTCTATTAACGCAACCGAGATGTACGACCGTATTGCTACAGGGGTCAGTACAACCAACTTTCAACTCTTACATTGGATCGCAGACTCGAACTTACTCTGGAAAGACGCTGATGACGCTGCCACCCAACCGCTTGTGACAGACACCGCACATTCTCTCCTCTGTCACTGTTACGAATCGATTCCTCCCTCTGTTTCCTCCCAGAAGTCCATCGCCGATTAACAGGTCAGCCTCGGAATTGATACTTTGCACTTTTCTCAAAGCCGCGACAATCCTGCTCTCGTTCACCACGGAATTCTCCGCGCGTATTCTCCCACGGAAGTAAAATTCAAGTTCATGAATAGGAAAGCTTTCCGGTATTAAATCTAATGTGGAGCTTGCGGGAAGGCGGGAGCCATGTTTGGCAAGGATTTCGACTGCCGGCCCGTACTGAGGCTTATATCCATGTGGCGGGGATAGATAGAGTGAGAGGAGGGTATGATATATCGACGGGTGGTTTTCATCGTGATCTGTGGGAGAAACTTTATGCAATTTATCTGGGACGTTGGCATGGGTATCTTTAGCCAGGTATATTTGATTGCAGTAGCTGGAAAAACAGTGAGCATTAAAACTGAGAAATGCTAGAGTCTGTGGAAACGAAATAAAATCCTCACCTTTCTGCCTTCTGTGGATGATTCAATCTGAAAACGTAAATTTCCAAGGCTTGCCTATGCTGACCCATTTTGCTGAATACAATTGCCCTAGCTTCAAAAAACTCGGGATCTATCATCACATTAGTCAAGGTATCAACAGAATATTTAGGGGAAAAAAAAGAAACTACTCACCATCCCTAGGAAGTCGGTCAAGCATCTTTGCTGGCGAATACTGAGAGCTGGACTTCAACATATCCAGAAACTTCCCTTTGCAATCACCCCGCTCCTCTTCATCCTGAAATTCCGCCGCTTCTTCGCCCTCTTTCCCATTCTTCAACCTCTCCAGATATAGCAGTAGCAGTCGATAATGCAAATCTGGCGTCATATCATTCAACTCCTCGATGACATGCTCAAGATACCTAATTGCAAGCTTTGGATCAATGCCCTGTAAGAAATCTAACACCTTATCCCTCGGTAGAGTCTCGGCATTTTCTGTATCCGCCAGAAATATTTCCATTCCGAGCCCTGGATCAGTTCGAAGCGGCCACTCCGCAAACTCAAGTATCAGGTTAACCATTTCTGATGGTAAATTCTGCAAATAGGTAATTGTCCGTTTGGGCCCCAGGAGCTGTGGTGCGCTCTTTTCTTCCTTTTCAGCTTGGCCGAATTTTTGGAGATGCTCAAGGGCGGGACGGTGTAGCTTCTTGCCAAAGAGAAAGTCGATAAGTTCGTTATATCTGCCTGTTTCCTCCAGCTTTTCCATAACCACGTCTGGATCACAGAAATTGGCTATTCGGAAGAGGGAGCCTGCGAGGGATGGCGTCGCGTACATATGTGCTCGGAAAAGTGTTGTATCGACGAGAGAGGCGGTTTCTCTCAATCTTTTCCCAATATCCACATCTTCGTCGTTTTCGGAGATTCCAAGAATGCTTATCACGGATTTGCTGAATTCATCGGATTCGCCGTTTACGCACAGGTCTGATACTTTGACGCTACCATCCGGGTTGAGGAACCTCTGAAGTCTCCTGCGAATGTCCGCGAGAAATCCTTGTAGTTCATATACGGCCGCTTTAAGGTCTTTCCCTTCTAAAAGAAATCAATATATGTAAGGCGGCCCGATTCGAAATATACTTACGCAGAGGTTTGTCTGCTCCGTTGCTATCTTTATCCCCGGACACTCCCCAAACGCTGCTAGTTTCGCTTGCACCATCTTCAGTTTTATATTTTAGCAGAGACCTGACTGAAGGTGTGTAACCGACGCCTTTTCCCTTATTCTTATCTTCCGCGATCGCAACAACACCATTAGGTTTACTTCCGTTTGCTCTATCTGACGATTCCTCGGCATTTCCCTCTGATTCTGACTGATATTCATCTTCTACCACGGTAGACAAATCGCCAGCAATTATCTTTGGATACAAGCGAATGACAAGCTCAGGGGGCGCAGACACTTCCGTAAATAAGTCTAGAGAAGCACGATACTTTCGGTTATCGAATAGGTCCTGGGCCTTTTGTAGTTTAACTTCTCGCAAACGGCCAAGTTTGTCCGTCAACAAAGCATCTTCAAGCATCCCAAGTAAGCTTATAGCCTCGTCAAAATGACCTTCTTCGACGAGCGATTCAATTTGCGAATCGTAATCTAGGGCGTTCATTCGCCAAATTATGCGCTCACCGGCAACAAGAAATCCTTTTCCGGCGTGAGCAAGGCTGATATTAGGCTGAGGGATATGCATTATGCTCGCTGACGGTAGCGAGATCGACTGAAGAAGATATAGAGTTTCGGGGTTGCGCACTTCTAGTGTCCCATTTGAAGGATCTTGGAGTGTAAGCAGATAGGGATAAGAATACCCGACAGCCTCTGGAGCAGCGCTCCATGGGATCTGTCCGCGGCCAAGAGAGTTGCCGTCGGTATCGATAAAATGAGTATTGACATCCTTTGCCAACAGCATTTCGCCTTCGGAGAGTCTTGTTGCCAATGGTTTTGGCGCCGCACCTCCAATGCCGATGTAGCTCATACTGGTCATACCGAGGCCTCCGCGTTCCGAACCGCCAGAGCCGCCAATACTCCCCGGTCCGATGATATCTGTAAGTTTCTTTGACTCGATATCCACAAGCAGATAACTGGAATTTAATCCCGCTAACAGCTTCGTTCCCGTCGCCCAAGTGAGCGTCTTTATTCCACTCACTAGTGTAATCTCGCCAGTATCCTCTTCGAGCTCCATATCTCGCCACGTCCACAGCATAACCTTCCTCTTAACCGCCACGGCCAGCCGAGACACAATCGAGGGAACGCCAGTGCTCTTGTCTTTCACAATATTCGATGTCACAGTAAACGTGGAGGCGCCCTTTGTCCGCACCAGCTGCTCCTGCAGCTGATACGTCTGCCAGTCGTGAAGAGAGACATATCCGCCCGACAACGAAACCAACACATTCGCCTCTTTAATAATCGCCAACTGTTCAATTTTGTATCTCGCGAAATTTTCTTCTTCCCTCAGCAAGTCCGTCGGTTTCGCTTTCACAGGTGTTGACGGCGTCCCACCGTCGACATGCTCGCCAGCGTCCTCAGCATCTTCAAGACCATCTTCGTCGTCGTTGATCTCGTTCACCCGGTATATCCGCAAACTTCCCGTGTTCAGCCCGACAAGTAGCCGATCTCCATAGGCTAAGAGAGACTCGATCTTCGACTTGTCTCGCGGGCGGAGCTCGACAAGGGGTTGGGCGGTAAATGCGGAGAGCATGGTGGTGGCAGGGAATGGTCGGTCCCAAAAATCTCTCCCGCAATCGTGCACGAGACTATTATGTCCATGAGGAATGCGGCAACATCATTCCGCTGTCCCACATTGTTTGTAGCTAGGTGTGCGAATGCCCTAACGGCCGGCAGCTCTTGTTGGTGCATCGATGTCATTTTGGATATCGATCAGCCTCATTGGCGGTAGCTTCTCCCACAAGAGCTCATTTGCTTAGTAAGCGGTTCCAAACTGCCCATCCATTAACGTAAGAGGATACAGATCAGGACCTCGTAAATAAAGTTTGCGGACCTCGTAAAAGTCACATGATGCTGACTAAAGAGGTCGCACCTTCAGTACTATAAATACCATACATGTACCTCTGCTGTTTGAATTTTCAAATTATTTACAGTTTTCTTCACATACATTAATTGATTGGGAATTGATTGTCAATTGATTAGCAATGTCTGCTTCATTTATATAAATCTGACATCTGATGACCAACCTTTTTGGCTGAAAACAGTTTCTAATCAATTGGCAACTGATTAGTAGCTGCTTGCCAACCAATTATGGAATAACCTATCTTTGTCTTATAGCAGTCCTTTACCCGGCAGAAGACCTTCTTATAGTGTAGAAGAACAGATCCTAGCATCTGTATAATCAGTTATTAACTGATTGGTAACTGATTAGCAAATGATTGTGTTACTCACTGTTGTGTACTCAGGCAGGATAATCTCTCCACTGACAACACTCTCAAGGGCCACAAAAATCAGCAGCAGGGCCATGGATATTGTGGGTGTGTGTGGAGGGAAGGCTGTAATCATAGTGATTGATTCATGTGATGATCAAGGGTCAGTGGTTAGCAGGTGCCAAAAAATGGCAGCAAAATCTGCCATGTTCGGCCGCTAGCTAACCATCACATTGTTGTATGGAGTATACTGTAAGCATAAGATTTTAAGCCTATATCTAACAGTGTTGTTGAGATATAGAGCATTAAAAAGTTGAAATTTGTATGTAAATTGAGGTGATCGGTTCGGTTGGGTGATCGGCTCGCTTGGGAATTGCGTTAGTGTCCACACGACTTTCCACATTTCTTCGACCTACGGAAGCGGACAGTATATAGGACATGAGGAGAGTAAGGAGAATATTGATTTCGCTAAGCCCATTAGAAGTAACCCTTAAAATCCAAACTGCACCTTTCCACTTTGTTCCCACCTAAGGAGCATTCATTAGTTACTGTTGGTCCATAAAAGATCCCTAAACTAACACCCTATTCCAGCGAACTTTTTTCCTGTCACCGTCCTTGCCGCATTCCCACAAATGCGCCTTGCTCTCATAACATAGAATTTTATTCTGGAAGACGGAACTCTTGAGTCCTTTAAGAGATATTGTGGCAAACAAGCAAATAAACACGAAATAAAAAGGAGACCAGTACTGGAGGCGGCATCCAGCTAAGGAGCTTCATTCAAATCGGCCTCCGTGGCAGTCAGTGGCTCAGTAGGGCTGTTAACGCTGGAATGATTTTTAAGCAGTTGTACTATTGCGGTCCACCGGATCCGGTACCTCCGCGTCAGGGACACGGTCGTCACTAGTAGCAGGTTGAAGATCGGTAAGGCCGGTATTATTAGCTACAACGATAGAAGTAGTAGCGTTCGCAGAAGATGTCTTGCCGATGGGTATTTCCTGCTGAGAGGAGAGCAAGGCTTGAACTTCCGATTCGCCGGGAGTTTGGTGCTTGGCCTCGCTGCCTTTGCCACGCCAAGTTGAAACCGCCGGAATGTTAGCTTTAATTCGCTGTTCCTCAGTCCCGTAAGCACGAGGAGTGAGCTTTATAAGCGTATGCAAAGGAACCTCCATCCATGGGCTTTGTTCCTGCGACATGTTCAGGAAGTACGCATAGATGCAGCGGAGGACGGCTTGGTGTGTCACGATGATGACATTTTCGCTTCTCTCGAGCTCCATGATGATCGGTTCAAGTCGAATGACAACATCGCGATACGATTCGCCTCCGCGATACCGATAGTTGTACTTGTCCTCGTCACGCGCTGCAAAGTCTTCAGGGTAGCGGGACTGAATCTCCTCGTAAGTAAGACCGTCGCATACACCGGAGTCAAGCTCATCGAGAGCCTTCCACTCTAGCTTGTGGTAGCCCATCTCTTTAACAAGGTGACGCGCGGTTTGGTTTGTGCGCTTTAGAGTGGAAGTCCAAACTGTAAGCTTGGCTCCTTTAGGAATTCCGGACTCACGGAGGAGGTCAGGCAAAGCGAGTGCGTATTGCTCGCCGCGAGGAGAGAGATTTGCATCCCCGCCTATTTTCCCAGTGAGATTGAATTCGGATTCCCCATGCTGTTATAGGTAATGATATCAGCAGGGTTATCATCGAAATGAGATTTAAGGATAGAGGCTTGAACCACTCACCCGTGACAACCAGATTGAACGAGGGCGAATGTGGAGGTTTTGAATATAATAGACGAGACGGCTAGATAGATAGTCGCGAATTCGATTGATGATAACTTGCGTGCTTACGTTAATTAACTTAACATAAGCATAGTGATCCTCGTCGGGTCCAATTGTTTGATAGACCTTCTCGTAGTTACGGATGCGATTCATAAAATCTTTCGCAGCCTCCTCGGGGTCTTGTCCAAAGTAATCCGGAGAAGTAGTCTTGACTTCACGGATGTTATTCATAATCAGATCATGGTCATCGCATCTTGATTCGACGAACAATGGCGCGATACCCGCAAGACGACAGGTGTTATAAATCCATTCTCTACGTTCCTTGGTAGAGTTTGTGGCATCGAGAATTGCAACTTGGCCGTCTGTAGTTGCAAACCAGTTCAACATATCCTTGACTGCAGCTTCAGCCGCCGCACGCCTGAGTCTCTCTCCATCCGGGTTCGAGTTGTCGAAGAAAGACGCCGATGGCCGTGGGGTATCCTGGCGCCTATATTGCCCGACGTTGAAAATCTTTGCAGGGATTCCAATCCATGAGAGGTATCGCAATGCTAATGAAGATGTTAGCCCACATATTTTTCTTTTCTTTTCTTTTTTTTTAATAAAAATCTGTGGAATGAGCTGGTAACTGCTATCCTTCACTAACAAACAATAGTTCACATAGAAAACATACACGAACCTACATACCTTTGCCTGCAATTAACGACTTTCCTCTCGCAGGAAGTCCCACCATAACAACACAAATTTTGTTATCATCATCCTGGATGCATCCATTAGCATATGTAACCGGAAGAATGGCGTGCTTAGTAGCAGGCCGGACCTCTGTTGTATGGTTGTAGTACATGAAGAACGTCGTGATTTGGTGTTCAGTGACAGGCTCCATGATGTTTGAGTAGAGTCAAAGAAGACAACAGGAAAATGAAGATATGCAAAGTAGGTATGAGATTTCAAAATAAAGCAGGAATAATTGGAGGATTGAAGGACGAAATGCAAACAGCAACAATAAAGACAGTGATGTTCATGCTGCTTTCAAAGAAAGCAAGAAAAACAAAAGCTGAGAAGGGGATGGAGAATTTACAGCAGATTTTAATCGCATTGTTGTTAAGGAGGGGAGTTTGCCTCTTCCCTCGTCATTCACTGCTAGAGGGGCTTGATATTCACGGCTGTGCAGTTGCTTAGTCGTCTGCTGTGAGGCGCTTGCTTTGACCTCCTTTATCAAGCTGGCTATGTTCCACGAAACACCGAAGTCTTCTTGCCTGTCTCGACTGGGCATAAGCAGATATTCAAGTATCTAAGTGCCAGCACTTGAGCAGTGCAATAGGGCAACACTGAGTCTGAATATCACCACTCCCAGAGATGATGTTAATGGGAGGAGCCACTGGAGAATCAGTTAAAAACAAGGAACAGTCACTCTTCGGAAGCCGGTCGCTGCAGTGGGAGAGATGATGAAGGCGAGTGGAAAACGTCTGTGTTTTCAGAGGTTGAAGGTTTCGTTTCCAGATTTGGTGGTTGCTCATATGGCGCGGTTTAGCCAACCAAAATCGGTGGCTGTTTATCGTTTGAGATCGCGACAGACGATGAAGGTGAATTGCTCAACGGTGTACATTTCACCCGCAGATGCGATATCCATCATTGAGATCAAACACAGGAACGTCCACCCGGGATATCATTTAAAAACTTTCCATGAGCAGGGGCACACGAGCTCTTCCAACGAAAAGTATCATGTGCCGGATTCTCCTCGGCCAGCCCTCGTGGATTTCCGATCACTAGCGGAGCCCCGGGTTATATGTGGAGCTATGATGATAAAATTGGCTTTTCACCTTCACACGTCACTTGCAAGATGGGGACGTCCATTTTCGGCCGCAGGGTCATGAGGTTGACTTATGGGCCCGCAAAATATGATCGGGTTATGTTAATTAGGCCCCAGTTGTGGTATGATAAATGCAAGTCGCCTTTGCAGTTGTTTCGAGAGGCGTTGTCCGACAACCCGAGGCTTTTAACCGCCTTTATGTTGCCACTGCAAGGGGCAAAAATAGCACCGGTCCACAGGCGACGAGTCCGGCATCACATCCACAATTCGGAACAATCCGTGTCATTATGCAGCTCCAGCAGCACGAATTTTTTTTTTCCCCCTCGTCCCGAACCGGAAGATTCGGGAAGGCAGCCCAAATGAAACAGTGCAGACAATTCTTTGAGGACGAAGAAGCATTCAAGGGCGGGATTCTGAAATGTTGCAAGGAACTAAGGGGAAAGAATTCGACAAGAAAACGATAAGGAACACTTGCGTGATGAACGAAGAAGATGAAAGCAAAAACTTACTGTTGCCCCAAAGATCTTATAGACAGACTGTCGGCGCCCCGACCACCCGGATGCCATGGTGGGCGATATCTCCCACAGGCCACTGACTTCCTCGCACTCAAATAGTTTGAGGGAAAGACAGGTCACAGCGCACCGAATGCGAGGGCTAGGCACTGGATAGGAGTATTGTATCTGCCTATCAGGCCTGGCAATCCCTTCGAACAAGGAAAGAGAGGAGGAAGCAAGCTGCTATGGCCGACTATGGAGGTAGAGCTTCTAAGCGCTTTGCACTCCGTATTATCCAGGAACCAGTGAAGATTTCCCAACAGAAAGGAATAAACCACTAATAGGAGAAAAGAGATTAATCGCACGCGCAAAAACACTTGATTAGGTCCTCCCCCTTCCAAATTATCGCAGAGAGAGCGGGACATGTTCCGAGGGCGATCGAAGCTTTACTTAAGGCTTGTTAATAAGCACATTGTAAAAGCGGCAAGACAAATCACCTCGTCAGTACGGAGTACATTTGGCTGCGAGACACGATAACTGAACAGAAAAGGCTATCACAATCAAGATGAGGATGGAAGAGAATGGAGAGCAAACACCATCTTTACCCTAGTGTCAAGCCCAGCAGGTAAATTCGGGAACCTCATCTCGGCACATCTTTTATCTCGTTACACGTTCATACTAACTCTTCGATAGAGCTCACCTTCAGGGAGAAGAATCATCTCTCTGGTTACCACCTCAATTAATATTGAGATGTTACATCCATGATCTGCCACACGGTTGAAGGCCACAGCCTCCGAGACCTTGATCATGTGTGCTCTACACCCAGTTGCATGCTGTTTGCCACATTGATAGAATGCAGGACTGATACATATAGCACACCAAAGGTTTCTTTTGATACACTGGTCTTCCTCAACAACCAGAAAGCGTGTCTCAAATGCCTTCTGAAGGTCAAACCCTGCTCATGTATACCCTCAATGGCTCTCACACACTTTTGTGTGCAACTAAGACACATTCTATTTGCTCGGCTTTTTTCCACGTCAAGTATGGCCATCTCTGATCTCAGTGTTTCCTTTCCTATCAAGCTGTCCAAGTCCGAGGAGGATGTAGGTGATGTCATGACACCAGTGGCACAGTTTTGATCCATTTGCAATGGGAGAATCCGTAAAATCAATGGAGCGGCTTGCCCATATTTCATTGCAACTGTCCATGCAAAAAGAGCATTCAGACCAAGAATAACATCCACAACAGATATCATCATCAGTGATTCCCACAGCACTCCTCTCTGTCAATTTTTTTTTCCAATACCAACATAAACCAAAAAGTCTACATTCTATTTCTCGAGGAGGGCAGTTTGGCCTTCCGGTCTGGGCCACTAGTGCATTTATGAGACGAACTATCCAATTCCTTCTCATTTCTGGCCTTGGTTTTCTTTTGTGGCATTTCGCGGGGCTCGGCCACTGCTCGCTTCCTTTTGCGCCATGCTTTTGCCAACTCAGGACCGAAGTCTCCGCTTTCATCATCATCGATGCTGGCTGTGATTCGCGCTCCGAGACAGTGTGTTCTGCACTTGCTTTTCACAACAAATAAGGGCAAGTGCAGCATTCAGCTGCTCTGTCGTGTAAGACATCTTCGTATGAGAGAAGGTTAGCACGCTGAATTTATTCCATAATTTGAAATGCTCTGGCTTTTATCCATACCATGGAGATGTGCCCTTCTAGAGTGTTAGTTAAGCCGGGTTGCAAAGTTCTGGAACCGGGAATCTATACCTGAGCGCACTGCTTTCTGGGTTAAGCACTCGAAATAGGTCTGAGCCTTGATATTAGATGTCAGTTGATCGACCGAAGCTCCTCGAATGAGACAAGAGTGTGACTTTGTTAGCTTCACCAGAGTGAAGCAAGGTAGATGCTATCCGCTCCAAAAGATATACCTATACACAAGCTTTGGAGAACACAAGTGGCTCAAGTGTTCACAATTGCAAATTGCATCGTTGTCCCTATAACACCAAGGAGATTCACTATGAACAGAAGCTGCTCTGTTATCTTTGATACAGAGAAAACGCTCTCACTGTATTAAGTGTATCCTTCCGCCCAAGACAATGGTGCATCACTTAGTTTGAAAGATAAGGTGGGTTATGCGTCAATAATTCCCCATGATTTTACTCCTTAAGCTCATCGCAGCGAGTCGACGGTCCTATCAACAGTTATGCATGATTGTTTAGTCCCCTACAGGCTAGTTGGGCTTACAGATTTGGGTGAGAGACAGTCGTCGCAATCTACCTTGGTCCAGCATGGGATGCAAATCTCAGCTGAAGTATCCGCCATATTACAGTCCCAAAACAAGTGCAGAGCTTCAATGAAACTCTACCTGCTTATGCTGGGGTTCCTTCAGGAGTATACTGCCTTCCTCGCAGGACCTGCTGGTGATGGACAATATGTATTTATTTTACACATGCTTTATAAACACGGGTGTTCAGAATGGTTCATCGATAAGGTAGTTATCTGGGAGTTGAGTTCGTTTCGCTGGTTTGATAGATTTTTGGTTGTTCACTCCATAGAGACTTAGTTAACTACTGCTTTGGTGCAAATATACAATTCGTGTCTCCATGAGAAGACAACCGTGGAGCCACCTTTCATTTCCCAACCACCAGGCCTCACCCACTAGACAATGGAAGTGGGCTGTTGAACCGGAAAAAAAAGGCTCACCGCGGACATCGCCCACGGTTATGGAGTACTCCGTAGCGTTAGCGTGTGCGTGAACCAAATGCCAAGGCGCTAGTCGACAGCGAGCTTAAAACCGGCCTTCTCTCAGAAAAAAATTCTGCTTTCCCTCTCTTCCGTTTAAAATCCTCGCCAAAATCTCTCCCGAGATTTCATCTACCTCCCCTTCGTTATCCGATCCTTTTCCACTATGCGTCCATTTGCTCAGGATGCGCGTATATCTCATACGACACGCTGAGAGTGAGCACAATGTGGCCCAGGTTTAGTACGGATTCGACGTTGCTCATCAAGTCAATTCCACCCACCTGATCCTCTTTACTCACTCTTTCTCTCCATCAGTGCTGGCGTGACCGATTCTGCTTTGACAAATCATGGCATGCTCCAGATCGAACGGCTTGCTCGGCACTTTCGAGCTCAGGGTGTTCAGTTCACCCGGGTCTTCGCCTCCCCCCTTCAGCGTGCTCGACTGACCGCCGAGGGGTTGTGCAAAGAGCCGAATGCCTCATCATTGCAACCAATTCTGTTACCAGTTCTTATGGAGAAGGACTTTGGCTCTTTGGAGGGTGAATCCTGGCGGACTTCTACCGTCGCTAGGTCCACATTACCCCCGACGCTTGGTTTGGATCACAAGGAGCCAGAGTCCGTAGCTTCTATGGCTGCACGAGCGAATCAGTTCCGTGATGACTTCCTACTTCCCCTTCTTTATGCTGATCTAGAGACTACCGAGGTTGTCGCTATTGTTTCGCATGGGATCGTGCTCTCAGTGCTCTGGGAGACTTTGACGACACTGTGTCAACACGATCACCTTGTATATAGCGCAACTGTTCAAGCTCAAGCTCGACGGCCTGGTTGGTCTAACACAGGCTATATGGAACTGGATATATTGAAGGCCCCAGGCGGCATTGCCAGGCACATATCCTGTAACAGCCCTCCTGAAAACTCAGAAGCAAGGTCGCATTCAGCTCAGGGTGCCCGGGTGACCGATAGCCTTTCAACCATTACCCTGAAGATAACGGTTCACACAGTCAATTGTCGACAGCATCTTCAGAATCTAAGACGCACCGGAAGTGGGATCGGAAGCGCAGCATACGATCCCAAACAGAAACGTATTAACAATTTTTTTGTAGCACCTGGTGGTTAGATATGCCGAAGATGTCTATACCCATGATCGTGGTGCTTGAATAAATTGTAAGTATGCGTCCTACTATCTTCGGACTCCTCATTTGCTTGCCTTCCGTGATGAAACACCTTTTACACAGACCTGTTCCGAAACAGATAATGTGGATAAAAAAATGTTGCCTTCCTTCTGATAACATTAATTTTGGATTCCAAAATTGTTTCCAGTCGTCTATTCCTCGGACTGAATGCTAACTAGTCGCTAGAATCGTTATTTCACATTATTTAATTAGACCAGTATGACCTTTTGCTGCATCCCGGTTTCGATCGAGATGATTGCCTCGTTCGTTTGTGCATGTAGCGTTGAAAAACTGTTCTCGATCGGACCTTGAATATATCCACGTTTCAAGGGATAAAGATGGCAATCCAAGCACCTTAAAACGTTATTAGATTTATATATCTCTAGCTTTAGGAATGATATTGACTCCTAGGCGGGAGAATATTACAAAGATTCAAACCCAAGACCTGAGTTTGATGCCTAATGACGCCTTTAGATTCGAAGTAGCTCCTTGCTCCATCCACAGTGCGAAATCCATTGTCTGATTCCGTCAAAGTCTTATAGCCTTGGTGTTGCCATCTTCCCCTCTCTCATGCATAGCACATGAGAAATATCCTTGAGCACAGACCACCTATCGCTCTTGTCTCACCATAAATCATGAAATTCGGTCTATTCTGCATCACATAGATACATCATTCATTCACCCAAATGTCATTCCAATAAACTACGTCCTAGTGAGACAATGAGACATCACCTTTGTCATTCGCTGTCAAGTCTCCGCTCAACAGTGCTCATGCTCATTCCTCTCGCTTGATTCTCTTGCTCCTTTCCAAATTCTTCGACCTTCACATACTTTTGGAAAAGTATATACCTCCTGAAGACACTGACAAGATGCTTCAATGCCCATTTGGCGTGCAAGTGTGTGGGAACAGAAAACACTTGGTCCAGCTCTTCAAGCGTCTTGCCCTTTGTCTCCGGTAAAAATAACAGAATCAGAACGAAGCCTATAATGTTCCATCCGGCGTACCAACTAAATGCGCCCTGCGGGGAGAATGCGCGGACGAGACTAGGCCAGGTGATCGCAAGCATCCAGTTAAAGAACCATGTCGTTGATGTGGCGAGGGCCATGCCATACGCACGGACATACAGCGGGTATGCTTCTGCGGAATATGTAAACGGGACGGGACCTTCACCGGGTGAATATACGATTCCGAAAAGGTATATTCCCAACGCCACGCAGCCTAGACGAGCTCGGGGGGCTGTATCGGAAGGTATCCAGAATGAAAATCCTGTTAAGAGGAGGAATATCCCCATCAGCGGAAAGGTGAGTAGCAGTAAATTGCGACGACCAAAGGTATCGATTGTGTAAACGGCCGGAATCGCAAATAGCCAATTTATCATGCCGAATCCCAGAGATGCCGCAAGGGCCGAAATCTGGGAAAAGCCAGCTTCGAGGAAGACTTCAGAGGAGTAGTAAGCGATGACATTGACACCGCAGAACTAACAATCATGAGCGTTTGGATTTGAAAAAGGCTTAGGTGCGCAGGGGATTTACCTGCTGCATGAACATGACAATTTCTGAAGCAAGCATTGCTCGCCGGTTTCGTGGCACAGTGATAAGCTCTACTATTTTTGGCTGGCCCAATTTCATCGTCGACTCCGCCTCTAGCAGAGTGTGCATATAGAATAAGTCTCGCGCAGCTTGGATTTTATTGAACCTCAAACGACACATAGACATGTATGCTTTGTGATGGGCATCCTTTGAAATATACCAGCGGGGTGACTCTGGGCAAAGAAATACCACGAGACAGACCAATACTGCTGGAAACATTGCGGAGCCCATCATTAATCGCCATCCTAGGCCAACTACACCGGGTGGGTCGGGAACTTTGAAGAAAATGATATCCGAAGCATAACCAAGCATGATACCGAATGCGGTCCACATCTGCCATTGCATGACTAAAGCGCCACGAATTGCAGGTGGAGTGGTCTCAGCAGCATATATGGGCACTGTTGCGGACTTGGGTCCGATTCCGAATCCCAGCGCGAATCGGGCGACAAACATGTGCCACCAGGTATTAACAAATCCTTGCCAAAAGCAGGTAATGGCAGAGAAGCAGCAGGTGATAAAAATTGTTCCACGGCGGCCGAATACGTGGTTGAATGGAACAGTAAGCCAGCAACCGATAAGGGCACAGCAAAGGTAAGGAGCGGAGTTGGTGAATCCTGATAGCCATGTCGAACGATAATCATCGTCGTTGATACCAAACTGCGCCTTGTAGAATATTTGGGCCCCATTAACTACGGATTCATCTGTCTGACTGTTAGCATTTAACTCGAAAATATCGATACTCAGAAGATATTTAGAAACAGAAAATCTTCGGACGTACCCATTCCCTGAACCGCTGCGGATACTGAACAGAGCACAATAACCAGATACAGCAATTTCGGCTGCGACCATTTATGCGTGAATTCATGTCGGAGAACCTCCAGTTCTTCCTCCGTTAATCCTTCCATATTTTCATACTGTTTCGGATCCTGAGCCAAAACAGCACCCATTGCAAATGCTCGTATATCTTCCTCATCTCCAATCTGGTGTTTCCGGGCGTATCGTTCCCCTCTGCCTCTTAAGGCAGCATGGCTAAAACCCGCCAGTGGATTTGCAAGTTTTGCATTTATATTCCTACGTGCACGCTCCGCGGCACTTAGAGGCTCCCTGTGAGATGTCACGAACGAAAGCTCGCGATGCGAAAGGTGGTCTTCATATGATGCCGAGGCGTAAGCCTTTGCACTGCCTGATGATGGGTCTAGTTCCTCAGATGATCGATAGAACTCCATACCACTTTTCTGCGTCGACGCAAGATTGATCCCAACTTCAGAAGTCAACGTGAATAAAGAGGGACCGTGTACTTCCCCTCTGGGACCAGCTCCTAGAATAATACAAAGGCAAAGAGGGATCAATGAAGAGAAGTCTCCTGGTTCGAAAAACGCAATAAAATCTCCAAAATTTAGGTCCACTCAAAGACAGGAAGTAAAGGGTATATCAGGAATATCCCTCAAAGAGGGAAATCGGTAGCTTTGGCCTAGGGACATATATCTCAATCCAACAACGAATGCTTCACTTTTCTATAGAAGCCTGGCCCCGAGTATCCTCGTACTCAATGGCCCGAGCACGAGAGGGTGAACCACAGCTGAATTTCCGGATTAATCGCTCATAGCTAAGAAACCTGCGCCGGGAATTCCTGTCTGCACCCCAAAAGCGCAATCATGTATCGCATGGGCAGCCTTAATCACTGCCTGGCCTTGGAGTTGAAGGGAGGCCGGAAACGGCAAAGTTTGATGTGAGTCGTTGACAGCTTTAAGTTGGAACAAAGAACCCGATCGCTTGAAGTCTGAAAGAGTGGATCCAGGGAATATAATCAATTACATGTGCAAAAAATACATTATTCAAATGAATTCTAGGCCAGAGTTACTGTGAGAGAATGTGGAAATCCAGAATGGAGATGGAAAAATGCTTTCAGTGGGCGACATCTCGTACCTTGATGTCACAAATGGCGCTGGACAGGTCACAGCCAGCCGATTACCGTCGACATCGTGGCTAGCCTTGCTGGCTGAGCCTCTTGTCCGATATTTGACTCGTCAAACTCCATCTGTGGGCAACGACCCATTGCCCACCGTGCACGAAGGAACCAGTTGTAATTCACGCGTCGCTACCCGACATTTCTTTTATTTTCTTGGACTCTACGCAATTAGTGCAACACGGGCAAGAAGAACACACGAGCCAGGCGTTCAACCCCAGAACGCCTGCAGCGGACGGAGAGCAGAGGATACATCTTCAGCCTTGGAATGGATTTTTGAAGACGAAACTGTCTCTTCATTTGACCGTGGTGTCAGCGACACATGCACGAAAGTCGATTTTGACCTGGGAAAGACGAAACTTGGAGTCATTGTCCTCCAAGCCCGGTCGAGTTCTGAATTGAGAAAAGAGAGGAGAACCCCGAAAAAAAAAAAAAAATTTTTTTTTTTCTTCTTCCTTTCCTTCTTTTTGCTTTTTTCGTTTTTGCCCTCGTTTGGTCTCGTTCGTGAGTGTCCAGATAGCGGCGGTGAAAATCGCTGCCGAACGCCTGAGCAGGTGCCCGTGGTGTGATGCTCACGTGACCTTCCAGGGTCTCCGCCAGCCGTCCCCTTGCGCTCGAGTTACTCATCTCTGGCACAGACATTTCACGATGCTTGAAGGATGACGCGATTGGATGAAAGCTATTATTGCTTGTCGTCTTAATCTCACCTCTCCTGACATGTGTCGTGTGGTAAAAATGGAAGACTGGCAGTATGGCAGCTTCAATGTTTGTATCCCAGTCACCATCAACAATTGGAAAAAGAAAAGAGCTCGGGACTCGCGTTATGCTGAGACTTCATTCGCCGTATCGTGAGTTGAGACCTGGAAATGGTGACGAGAAAGTCAGATGCGAGGCAGGCGCCTATGCATGGCTTCAAAAAATTGCTCAGGTCTTCCAATTCATCATTTTTATGGCTTTGCAATGTTCGCTGAGGAAACAGTATGGGATCTATCGTCAGTGAACAGCAACTTCAGCTAACCGTAGCATCTAGTTTATCCACCTTGAAAATCGATCATGCGTCAAACGATGGCTTCAGATCTTACGACTTTGACTGCTATCATGGCTCCATCGTCCAAATCCTTCTCGATACGTCCCATCAAGGTAGGGACTTAATGATCGATAAAAATCGGCGTATCAGCTCTGCCTATATGCTTATCGAGATTTGCTGAAGAGGCCAAAGGCGAAATGTGGCTTATCGCGAATTCTTTCAAGTGTCGCCCGGATACGTTTGGCTTAGATCGGATTCTTTACCATTGATAATAGTGGGGCTTTAGAGCTCGCAAACTGACAACCTTCGATTGAGGTTCAGGACTTCGAGAATCAGGAAATCCCGACATATATATTGCGAGATCGTACATATTTTAACTATCACCGACTATGTGATGGACATGCTGGGTTCTCGTGACAGCCGCATTCAACATCCGCCCAACACGATCAACAATACAGTTGACTACTCCTATCAAGTGGCCGCTCCGGCAACAATGCGAACGGTTATGTCATCATTCTTTGACCAATAATTCTCGCAGGGGCCGTTCGTCTTTGCATTCACAGACCTCGATCAAAGCAATATTTTTGTTGATGGGAGTTGCAATCTAACCTGTCTTATTGATCTTGAATGGGTTTGCACTCGGCCAATCCAGATGATCAGAAAACCCCCATGGTTGACGAGCAAAACCGTGGATGAGATTGCAGAAGATGCTGAAGTGTACGGCGAAGTCCACGCAGAATTTATGTATATAATGCTTGGTGAAGATGAGAAAATGTCGGCCATTGCTTCACACAATAGAGTTGCTCAACACATGGTCTCCTTCTGCACGATACATAATCCTCAGCTCCAGTGAGAGAATTACAATATTAGAGCCGGCAATCAAAAGCCAAAAAAGTAGTCTTTGATATATGCAATTCTGAGATTTGCGATACGTATGTAGCTATGGCTTGCTACAGGCTTGGACTTCCTTAAACGGCTAATATATACAATGAAGTTCAACTTCATTTTAATCGAAACAAGAGAAGGAAACCAAAAAATCACACCTCCCTGCCCAAAATGAAGCTCCCGAATTAGTACTCCGTACTCCATATATTAGAAATAATGTGAAAATACAGACACCCGACATAACCTCGCCCAGCTCCTTAGTCTTCCTCTAGGTTGGGTATAAATGCGCCGCTGTTGATGTTAAATCCTGCATGCGCAAACAAATTCTCCCAAGCTCCCGTATCCGTAAATGACGCAAACGCATAATTATTGCCTCCATCGCCGCTCGACACTTCGTTCATCGGCATAAATGACTGAAAGCCATTGCTGCTAGTGATGGCTGCAGAGGGGGGAGGAGCATCGGAGCATAACATACCAGTCGGATTCGGGTTTGGAGGATGATTGCTCATACATTGTATCGGATTTGCTGCGGCCGTCATTGATGCATGCAGCATCGATGCGGTCAACGGACTTGCGTCAGATGGAGAGACCTGAGAATGCTGTTGCGAAAGAGGATTGTTCAAGGCTGAAAATTGAATTGAAGCAGCAGTCGACGCGTGGGGTAGCGGGTACATATCACTTGGCAACCGCTGTTGCGGACCAGGAGGATAATGTGATGACGGCGAAGGTTCAAGTGGCGACTGATTCTGGAGTTGCTGCTGCTGAATCAAACCCGTTTGATGGATCTGCAACGATGGTCTCACATATGGATCTGGGATTTGCGATCCATCATGTTGTTTGATCAAAGTGCTAGTTGGGGGGTTTGCTTTCGCCTTTGATTTGCGAAATTGTGTCACCACATTAGCTAGGAATCTGCTTTGATAGAAGCAGTTAGTGTTGTTTGCGGAACACTGACGGCCGAAGTCCTCGCTCGCTTTGCAGAGAAGGTCGAGGATGGTGGCTTCGGATTCGGCTGAGAGCTCGCCGGGCAGGGATAGTAAGATCTAGGTTCAATGTGAGCAATGACCGAAATGAAGAACGGATAGAGACCGAGTTTATCCCATCCCAATACGAGAATGTACCTTGATTATAACAACGGCGGCATAAGCCACCATTACATGTACCGAGTCCTGACAGTAATAAAGATGTGAAACCATCCCCAGACGATGCACCACTAGGCGTAACATCTCCAGGGCACTTGAATAGCAGATCCATAACGACTCTTTGGAAACATTGCCGCTTAGGATTGAGAGTTGCAACCGAAAAGAATGAATCAGAAGACGTAAATGATTTCCGTAGAACCGAACAAGGAATCGATGGCAGACAGAACTGCTGGCTACAGCATTCACAAATGTTAGAACACGCGGCTGGAAGAGTTGTTCAGGACCGTTACCTTCATCCAGTATCCTATACCATTTTGCCTCCCACCTATCCAGTTCGCTATTGAAGGTCTTCAAAATAAATTCGTCCTTATCAATTGTCTGCGATGTTGTCGCGACCGGGTGCAGCCAAAATACATCCAGCAGATCAAAACCGAGGATTCTTAGTTGCACAAACGAAACCATAACTTCATCAATGCCGGGAACTGCATAAGCATGTTGGTGCCAGGTTTCTGCGTTCCGAATCAAGTGATCCATATGGATCATCGACGGCCTTCCTAATTGCAGGCTCACGCTATCAAGACAAGAAATGTCAATATATCGCTTGGGAAATGGTCAAAGTGCCTTTGGGCACGCTCAATTTTCTTACCTCCGATCGTACACAAACAGCATAAGCCAAGTGCGCTCTTTATTCCTTCGTTCCCTTAGCTCCATCTCTTTTGCACTGCCCCTGTTCCCGTCCTCGAACACGGGATCCAAATGAGTTGGACTTATTTTATGCCATCCCATCTCCATACAAGCGCGAATAGCATATCCAACTAACATCCACGCTCGAGAGTCACTTGGCTCTTTCCAATGCGTTACAAGACATATTCCCTGCACAATTTCAGTGGACTTCTCACCCGAGCCAAGAATCTTGCGTAGAAGAAACTCAACGTGGTCGTGAAGTTTAAGGTATAGTTGTGGAGAAAATACTTTGGCAGCAGCTGCAAGGAGGGCTGAAAACAGGAACGGTGATCGACTCCTGACGTAACGCAATGTATGCATCACAGGGTCAAATTGACATATAAATGGGTTCATATATTTGAAAAAGCTAGCCAAAACCAATCATTAGATCATATTACAGAAGTTGAGGTTGGCGGATGGATCGCAACATACTTATCAAACAACCCCTGAGCACTGGGCATGCTTAATAAGTTTCGATTCACTGGGTCATCCGGATCCTTCATCGGTAAGTCATCTTGTCCTAAAACGTCAGGATCGGGAGTCTCCTCTCCAGCCGGAGTCTCCTCCTCCACGTTGAGAATGTTGGCAATTGTAAAGTTCCCTACCGTCGCCGATTTTCTTAATAATGCAAATGGCGCAAGGCTATCTGAGGCAAGTGAACGGTTTATTTGCATGCTTTTCAGGGTTGAGGCTTCCCTTGCGGAGCTTGCCTTTGATATGGGGGACAGGTTGTGGTGTTTCACATCAATAAGGAGGTGACCGCTATGCTGGCTCAGTGTATCTTCCCGTTCAATTTTTGGCGTCGGTTCCGCTGCCGAAGCCGTTGGTGGATTCGAACCCTGATGCATACTTGTTAATGCAGAAGCAGTGTTGGAAGCTTTCATGCGTTCTGCTTTGGGACGTAATCTGACCAAGACAATCACACAAGATCAGCCCACTAATGCTATTGTAGAGGTTCCGCAAAACGATTATAACACTCACTTTGTACCGGGTTTGCGACCTCGACGATGCGTCTCATAGTAGCAAGTTAGTGATTTCCTCTTACATCGATTGCACATTGTGGAATCCGGCTCGCGGATACATTTCATTTTCACCGTGCGACATGGTGTGCAAGCGGCGACAGCAGCGCCGCCGGGAGTACTCATCGCTCCACGTCAATGAGTATCTGTCCCAGGAAAGGTTCAGTTCTGTACGACCAAAGTTGTAATTGCAAATCGTACAGGAACGCATTTGTATGATTCCATTGCATGGACCAATTGGATGTGCTCAACGTCTGGTCTACTTCTCAGACGGCAACCCTAGCTTTCACAAAGAGCTATAAACCCCCAGGTCGTGGAGTTGAAAAACCATCAATTGTCGTTTTCGACACAGCTGGCTTGTTACCACTAACGAATTGGAAGTCCGGCTATAAGCCAAGCTCATTCTGCAGGAACAGGTGTGATGCGCGGGTTGGAGCGATGAAAGGCGAAATGAGCAATGCACACAACGCGTACTCTGGATGGCAAAAGACCTCTGGGAGTATCTCCGAGATCAGGCTCCCCTACTCGCAGTCAAAATCGCGGCGTCAAGACCGCCGCGCGGTCACGTTTGGCTCTAGGTTTGGTTATTTAGCTTCCGGCAGTGGGGGTCCCGTTCCAGCGACAATTGATCCGTACCTTGCGATGAGCCTCCGAATGTGGCGCGCGGGAAACAAACAAATGGACCGGCCAAGTGAGCAGAGGTCAACCACCGGCCTCCAGACGTCAGGCAGACTGACTGGTCATGATTCTTGACGGGTTCAGCCGATGCCACCCTCCTCGTTTAATTTGCTGTCCTCGTCGCCAACGATCTCCCATAGGCACTAAACCCAAACGGGGACTTGGGCTGCTCAATCCCTGACGCTGCCGCCATAATAATACGATGTCTCATCTTTTTATTAGACATCATCGTCTCTTGAATCCTCTTCCCGACACACAATAAAAATGCCCAACTCTTCATGGGAAAGATGACGATTGATGCAGCAGTAGCGGCCTCCGTGAAACTCCATGTGAGGTCAGAGCCCGGGATGGCCACTCCAGCGCCACCAGCTGGGATCGAACGTGTCACAAAGCGAAGGATAGGCGCGGACGAAGAGCCTACCCGCTTCGTCGGCGGCAACTTGGCCTACGATACAGAACGCAAGGCACGATTCGCCCAGACCCAGCACGCGAACACGCGTCAGGCGACAAAGAGTGCCTCCAACCCCGGCTTCCGACCTGAGATCCTCCGCCTCGCGATGAGTTACACCAGAGCACGGACATATTCCACTCCGGCAGATATTCTCGGGGTGCATTTTGTGCCATTTAAAGTCCCCCAAGCGTCCCCAGACTCTGCTGATAAGAAGATACGAGGTTGAAGAGACACTCTTACTCGTCAATTGGCCCCACCATAGCGAATGTTCTCAAACTTCTGGCTTTCGATTCTGATTTTCACGATCATCGAGGTCGAGACCATTCACCTATTACTGAAAAGCTGACGTTACCCTTCTGGTCCTTTCATTATTCTTTATTATTTTGTGTGCATATCTTCGAAAAGACCTCGGCTTATGTTGCAGCAGATCGAAGACTTGGCCCAGACGGTGGGTATGTTGGCCACGACACCCGAGCTTCAGCGGCCCGATCCAGATGCCTGACGGAATGCCCGCAACTAGATACCTCCTGGCAAGAAGCAGTCGCTTTCCAGGTTTCACGCTGAGCCAATGAATACCATTCTGCTAAACTTCCCGGCGGAGAAGGCCTGATGAAGGAAATGACTCTTGGAGGGTCATCCATGCTAAGAGAAACAGATCGCCCGACTTTGCACAAGCCAACAACAATCAGGGGCAGGGTGAGCGGGAATTGTAGCATAAGTCCGGAGTTCACAAGCTCCAGAAAGGACCAGACCCCGAAACGTGTAATATATACTCCTTTCCCCGTACGCAAATGGGCAAATGATAACTCAGAGTGTGATATCCGATCCGGTGAGATTTTAACTTTCGAAATGCATCTGTAACTACTCCGTACATGCAGAGGATGGAGAGCATCCGACAGCATACCCCTGCCGGTGGGAGCGATGTTAAGCGTTGGTCAACGCAGCCTTTCGGAAATGTTTGAAGTCGAATCTCGCTGCCACTTAGCGGTAAAGCAAGGATTGGAACAGAAACCTATTTATTTATTTTTTCTTATCATTTCAAGGTCAGGGTTTGATGGATGGCTTTGGAACCCCCACTCAGCTCAAGTTCCCCCCCCCGTTGAACCAATGGCTGTCACACCGTCTAACTTGAGGACGTAGATTGGCGACTCACCCAACCACAGCCAGTAAGAAGACATTGCCGGGAGCAATTGCGAGATTTCAATCATGCGGATCACACGTTTTGGAATGGATTGATAGCATTTACCGGGCCGGCGCATTTGGTTTAAACGCCGATGCCGGGTGTATAAGGACGAGCGTGGGAAGCTTAAAGGAGCAGCAATACCGTTGCTGGACGAGATTTTCCATTCCTCAAGTGATTTCTACTGGATTTACTCCGTACGCATCCGGGACTGCAAAAAGCCCAAAACAGAAAGAAAAATGCGAACCCTTGGAGCCCCCAATGTCGCCGCCAAAACATCACATGTCAATCTCATGACAGACACGATGATCGCGAATCTCAATGCAGAAACCTTGCGGGCTGTTATCCGATCGATGCTTGCGGGGGACCAGGAAGGGCAGCTGGCCACCACATTCCAGAAACACGTGCAAAGCTGCCTACGGCGAGACATTGATATCAGAACCCCAACCGCTTCGTTCGACACCAATGGCGCGATATCGTTCCACAAGACTATCGAGAACCTCCGCAACATGCGAATGCGCATCCTAGCACTCCTTGGATGCGGCCTGGCATTTGAAAGTCTCAAGATTGTCGGGGAGATAGTTCAACAATCAGCACCACTCGCGCACCATGTTGACTCGGCAGAAGACGAGGATACTTTGCTATCGACTCTAGCCGGGGTCGATGCGGACCTGGTTCAAGCTCTAACGGCTATACAATCACATCTCATATTGAATGGGGCGAGAGACCATCTGGCTAAGGCGCAAATACGAGCGCTAGTGGAGCTAAAGCAGGGTTTGGAGGAGTGTCAAAGACAAAATGAAGCTCAGGGCACAGAATTCGTCTACGAGAGGGGAATAGACATGGTGGAGGGGATTCTCACGATGGTGAAACGGTGAGCCGGGCGAAAGGGAGGCAATTGATCCTGCGGCTAGACAGCTGACTCCTTGCCGGCGAGGATGGAGGGTGGAGTCCGGCGACTGTCATTTCGAGGCTGAACGGAGGTCCCCCGACTTCTAATAAGAATAATCATCTAAAGAAAGAGTACTCCATATTTTGTAGATATGTGTGAACATACGTATTGAACATATGCATGTATAAAACACTTCAAGATACAAAATGTGGAGTGCGTTTTGTTGCCATTTTTGTTACATGAATAACATTGGTACGGCTAAGAGCTTTTTAAGTCTTGACTTGTGTCACGGCTCCGAGTATGGTTAATATTTAATCCGCAACATTAAAAGCTCATGCAGGGTGCTTCTATCCACGACATATGACCATTGGTATAAAGAGACGTTGAGCCATGTGGTCTCATCGGGCCAACAGTTCCGTGAGTTAAGGCCCGTTTCAACTGCTAGTCGAATCATAATGTCTTAAGAGGAATGGGCATGGATTAATATATTCTTCAACAGACATCGTCTCACTCACAATGAGAGCTGCGCCTGAGTATTTGAGCTTCTAAATTCTGTGACTCAGAGCCCAAGTTTGTGACCCTGTCAACCAATGCTTCGGTCCTTGGAGCTATGACGATTTTTCTTGCAGACAAAATCCCATACTTGAAGTGCCTCGCAGCAGCGCCAGCGGAGACTAGGATTAGAATATTTCAGGACTTCTGGAATCACAAAATTGCAGCGGTGAAACAGCTAGAAGACTAGTTGGTTGGCTAACTTGGCTTCCTCTGTAGTTAGTTATTAGTGTAGTTAGCGAGTGAGGGACTTGTCAACTGCCTTCGCCACAATCTCAATCTCGATCGTGATCTCAATCTTCCGGGGACGCCTCGATGGATAACGGGCAGCCAGCGCCCCTTGCCACCCCCAAGTCCTCTAGCATCACCAGCCTGAATAATAATATGACTTCTTAACGGGGTCGTGCCATCCAGGCCCCAGTAGCCCCAGAAAACTGGCTGAAACCCCGGCTCGTTGCTTTGACCCTTGTTGCGAACGATTGCAACCCTAGCCATTCGCTGCGCAAAGGTCGCTTGGCATCACCGTCGTGGGTCCCAGAAAAGCTCTCCCGTGTTATTTTTTGATTTTTTCGAGATTGATAAGGAATGCCAGTGAGAATCCGAGAAAATGTGACTTTCCCGAAAGCTTTACCGGAAATTGCCTTGAGGCCATTGTAATCGACGTCAACATCTTGGCTCCCCACGCATAGCGCGCTCGATGAGTAAGTTAAACACTGCATCGGCGTTTTAAAACAGTCCAGCACCAGCAAAGCGGTACTAAATCTCCTTGAGCCATGGCCTGCCGTACCTGAATCATGTAACTCCATGCAAAATATGTGTGACAAAGGCGATATCCACCAGGAATTCGACCGAAGGTCTACCCCCCTGCTCAAGCCAGCGACACACATAGATATTATCTGCTGGGTTAGATGGATGGATGGGCCGGGAATGGCGCATTGAGTAACCGTGGCTCGCAGTATCCCGACATCCGTACCTAACAGCACCGAGTGATAAACTGATGCATTTTGTCTCTTACCCACGGGAGTATAAAGGCCGGCATATGGCTCTCAATTGAACTCGAAGTTATACATCTTTCTATTTCAATTCCCATCGTTACAACTTGATTCTGATCACGGTGCGCATGATACTACTCAACACATACAAATGGAGACGTTCAGAATAGGCGATCATACAGTCCCCAGGCTTTTCATGGGCTTATGGCAACTATCAAGCCCAGCATGGGGTTCAGCCCCGCGATCCAAGATCATGGCGGAATTCCAGAAATATGTGGACGCGGGGTTCACGGCGTATGGTAAGTGGTTCAACATTTCGCGACAGATCCAATTCGGGCCAATCGAATAATCTAACGGGAAGATGCGGGGTGTCTCTTCTAGATATGGCTGATCACTATGGTGATGCGGAGATCCTCTTTGTATGGGCTTCCCTTATCCCGTTTTTTGGTGATACGAGAGCTGAATTCCGGTTTCATTTAACTTGCGCTAACCTTCGCTCAGGGCCGTTTTAGGTACTCTTATACAGGGCCGAAAACCATATTTTGCTCCACGAAGTACTGTGTTTTCCAGCCGACCCCGCAAACCGAAGCTGTAGTCCATGAGGCTATATCACGCAGATTGAAAAATATCAAATCCGACAAAGTGGATTTGTTGCAGTACCATTGGCAGGACGTGAGTGCCTTCTCGCCTACTTCAACACCCCCCAAGATGCGCACAAGGCAACATGGCTCACATAGCGACCTGGATAGTATGGGGATCCACAGTATATCCCGGCCCTTCAAATTATGGAAGCCGATTCTCGAGTCAGCAATTTGGGGCTGTGTAATTTTGACACCAAGAGGATGAAAGAAGTCATTGATGCGGGGATCAAATTCGCGACAAACCAGGTCCAGGTAGTATAGACGAGACAGCCAGGGCCTTATACTAACAAATGGAGTGATGTGCTGATTCGTATGCCTGCAGTTCTCCCTGATCGATACCCGGCCTCGGTATGAGATGGAGGCAGTATGCATTCAACATGATATCAAACTCTTGACATATGGCACCCTGGTATGAACGCCCACCAAGTCCGTCTAGCCCACACGCACACGCACATTCCTCTAGCTAACAAAAGACCCACATCGTCAAGTGTGGCGGCTTTCTGTCTGAAAAATGGCTGGGTAAACCCGCTCCCGAAGCCTTCAGTGAAGGAATGACCCCAAGTCTCAGAAAAGTGCGTTTCAGACCCTATTTCCTATCGATTCATTCTCGCCATCCTGATATAGGTTTTAGTATCTTGAAATGATCACGATTTGGGGTGGGTGGTCCCTCTTCCAAACGCTCCTGACTACCCTCTCCACAATCGCTGCCAAGCACTCCGTCTCCATTTCTGCGGTGGCCGCCCGTTGGGTGCTTGATTTCCCGTATGTAGGCGCTGTTCTGGTGGGGGCCAGAATGGGTGTGAGCGAACACATTGATGAAAACTTGGCAATATACGGGCTGTCATTGGATGATGAGGACCGGGACAAAATCGAGGATATCTTAAAAATGAGCAAGAGGGACCAGGTCTTCGCCGATATGGGGGATTGTGGCTCTGAGTACCGCTCAGCCTAGGTCCGGTAGATCGCTCACACGGACGGGATGAAGGGTCCTAGAATATTCTTTGTGTCAATTAAAAAAAGGACGAGTCCGCTATTGGTGCACCCAGTTTTTGGTATTCTTTTTCTTCGAAATGAAAATGTGATAGATGGGTTACACATACTGTAGAATGACACCTCTCAACAACGTATGACACTGAACGGCAAGCGAACGTGAAACAGTATAAAACAAGAAATATATTCCACTATTAATAATAATAATGTATCAGGCCCAATTTGTTATATCAACCCATTCCAGTCCAAAAGTCTGCGGAATGTAAAGTATGTGCCGAATCCCGATGGGGTAGCGCCCGTGGAACGGTAGAGCGAAATCATAATCATCGAGAGATCGACTGAACGCTTCCCGTCCCCTTAACTCACAAAGAAGCGAAGAGAAGGAGTTTCGAGAAGGCAAAACGCCTAGATCACGGTCCTCCAATCCTTCAGGCGACGGTTAACGAAGGTCCAACTGTTCTTCGCACATTGACTGATTGGCACATCATTGGCAGGACATGACAACTCAAAGTGGTGCGTTGAAATGAATAGTTTGCAGTTTAAAACTGAATTTAGAGGAGAAAAATATACGCCGTAAGAAGCGAGAGGTGGTTAAATGTTATGAATAAAGTATCTTTAATCGTCGTTTGTCGAGGAATCCTTTCTAAGATCCGGTAATATATCAGCGTCTTCATCTTCGTCGTCATCAGACGGAACGTCCATGACGTGCTGTCCAAGTGTCTCTAGTACGCGACAGCTCCAGGCGAGGACGCCCTTGTAAACACCCTAGAGGATACATTAGAAAAAAATCCATGGAAAGATAGAAAATATATGCGTACATAGAGAAAAGTAGCCACGCCAATTACAATAACGACCCAGCTAATAGACGCAGCTCTGTCCCTACCGGTAGGACCGGCTCGCCGACCTCCCAAAACAGTGGAATGGCGGAAATTCCACCATTGCCACGGTCGAAAAAGGAAAACTTTCATGAACGACAAGAGGCCCAAGGATGCGAGTCCCTTAAAAAAGTGTTCTGACCAGGTCGCTTTTGTCCGCGCCGAAAGAGTGATACTCTCACTTTCCTCATCCCAAAACGTACCGGAAGTAATGGTATCGAATGGGTCAAAGTACAAATTCATGATTGGGTCAGCAACGAATCCAAGGATGAACATGACAAAAAACAAAATGAACAAGGTGAGGAAAATCTGCATCGGAAAGCTGCTGATCCATCTACCCAAAGTCACCCGCTGAAGCCTGTAGCGGAAGCCACACGTTGGACAATGCCAAAAGTTCCTGGCACCATAGTTGGGATCCGCATTCCTCCACTTGCGTAGGCAACCCTCGTGTACATATCTCGATGAGCCCTTGCACTTGCAGGGCCGAATTAAACGTCCCAGAGACGGGTCATCCGGCTCGTACGTGACACGAGGGCCCGATTGCAGGAAGGATGGAAGATTTTCCGACACCGGGCGATAGGTTGGATGGACGATTTCCAAGCATATCCTGCACATCCTCGAAGGGTAACTGGTGCCAGGAGTGGATCCATTGTCTGGCTCAGTGCGGTCACCAGCGTTTGACTGTGGCTCTGAGCTGCCTGGAGCCTCCGGCGGGCTGGCAGATTGGTCGGGCCAATGCCATGAAGGAGCGTTATGTCGCTGCCGGAGGTCCATGAGTCCGGGAGGGAACCGGGAACAATGGATTGAGCTTCCAAAAAAAAAAAAAGCGAGAGGGGTAAGGCAAGTTGAGGTAACAGTACGAACAAATCTCATCCAGCGCCAAAGTCTAGCTGGAAGAAAGTGGCCGAGTCGCCAGACAGCGAAGACATGGCCCAAGCTATGCGGCTCAGGGAGCAGAGAGAAGGCATGTTGGAGGAGGCAATGCGAAAAGGAAGAGTATCCCCAGCAGAATTTCAGCGAAAAAAAGAAGTGTGCTGGCCAAAACCCAAACAGGCAAGGTTACGCGATCGCCTAATCCTGCCCGCCCCGACCTACGTAAACACCTCTGGCGCCTGACTGTGAGCTGGAGCTCACGACCAACATCACCGCACCAGCAATATATCTCCATCCGCTTTCCCCCCAGCCCTTGCTCAGCACACTGTCGTATTTCTCCTTGTTGCTTAAGATTAGAACCCGACTACATTACTATCATGGCCGACCGCTATTCGTTTTCTTTAACGACATTCTCCCCAAGGTTTGTCTTATTCCTGTTTTGAGCTGACCGGGAGCTAACAATTGTAATAGCGGGAAGCTCGTTCAGATCGGTATAGTAGCGTCAATGAACATTGACTGGGCCAGAGAAGCTAACCTTTTTGCCAGAGTATGCCTTAAATGCTGTGAACCAGGGTGTAACGGCCTTGGGAATTAAGGGTACAAAACTCCCACTTCCCTAGCCTGGATACGGGTTGCTTACTATTTGGCCGTTTAGCTACCAATGGAGTCGTCCTTGCCACGGAGAAAAAGTCCTCATCACCTCTTATCGATTCCTCGTCCCTCTCTAAGATCTCTTTAATCACTCCAGACATTGGCATGGTATACTCAGGCATGGGGCCTGACTATAGAGTGCTCGTGGACAAGGCCCGCAAGACATCTCACACCGCATATAAGCGTATCTACAACGAATACCCGCCGACGAGAATACTGGTGCAGGACGTTGCACGCGTTGTTCAAGAAGCCACTCAGTCCGGTGGTGTGAGGCCTTATGGGGTCAGTCTTCTCATTGCAGGATGGGATGAGGGTATTGAACCAGAGACACCAGAAGCCCAGAGCTGGGAAACAGATGCAGAGAAGAAGAAGGCTTCAGGTAAAACCGGCGGCATCCTGAAAGGTGGCCCCAGTTTATACCAAGTAGATCCTAGCGGAAGTTATTTCCCCTGGAAAGCTACAGCAATTGGCAAGAGCGCAACTTCGGCGAAAACCTTTCTTGAAAAGAGGTATACGGAAGGATTGGAGCTGGAGGATGCGGTTCATATCGCATTACTCACCCTCAAAGAGACCATTGAAGGTGAAATGAACGGTGATACCATTGAAATCGGTAAGTCTGTTAGTCTAATACCTCCGGCCATAGCTAACTAGTGTACAGGTATTGTCGGACCGCCGGCCGATCATCTGCTAGGTTTTGAAGGTGTAGAGGGCGCTCGGGGACCAAGATTCCGGAAGTTGACGAAGGAGGAAATTGAAGACTACCTGACCAATCTATGATAGACGTTCCTAATGACCTTTCCATTTGAGCTTCGTTCCTCAGGGTCTTGTAATGATAGATCTAGGTGTTTGGGGGAAATCAAACGCGGGAATATACCATTCACGTTTTTATTGCGAAGAAAATTAAGCCGACTTGCTATAGTTATTGCGAAGCAAATTTTGATGAGACCGCGATCATAGTCCATGGAGCTGTCGGTGTCGTCCGAAAGTCAAAAGTGTGCCCTTACGGTTTCAGCTTCGACAAATAGACGGAATACTCAAAGTATCGGCCATTATCTGCTTAATGTCTTGAATGAATCTCAAATCAAGAACGCCAGTTTCAAACCGACGTATCATAGGCCCGGCCGTATCTAAATAACATGAAGCCCCGACGCCCATCTCGAATGCGGGGCAGACCACTCAGTCGAGACGCCGCCTAGCGAGGATTGGCCACCAACCAAACGACACTTGCATTCCCCGCCAAAGAACAGCTCATGCAGAGAAATCCCATATTTCTCTCTAATTCAATGTATGCAAGGAAAGCTTTTGATAGTACATATCCCAAGCTGCACTCTGCGTCCATCTTTATCTGCGGAGTATCCTCAGTCCTTTAACTCTATCCTCTGATGTCCGCTCATACCACAGCTGAACAAAGCCCCAAAAGGCGAAGGATACATCTGGATAACGATTCTAAGATGCATTTCCGCTCAATTCTTGAAGATGGGACTTCAAAGAGCCAGGAAGCCCCCCTTCCTCCCCGCAGAGCAAGAGGGTATCAGCTTGAGATGCTATCCGAAAGCCTGCGTCAGAACATCATTGTTGCGGTAACTAAGCTTCCCACCCCGTGATCACACGCTTACTTCTAATGCTTGTTACTCCAATAGATGGATACTGGGAGCGGCAAAACTGAGATGTGACTGCCTCCTGTTGTCAGGATATTTAAATAGTATGATACTGTGGGATCTAATGTGCTCTCTCTAGTGCAATCCTTCGGATACAAAGGGAACTAGAACGATGTCCTGCACACAAAGTAAGTTGTTCATATATCTTTAAACACATATCATCCAGTTACTCAACAGAGGCAGTTTGTTTGGTTTATGGCACCAACTGTTGCTCTCGTCGAGCAGCAGCATTCAGCTATATCCAAGCAGCTACCTGCATTTCAAACTCGACTCTTAACTGGGGCTGCTAATGTCAGCCATTGGTCTACAAAGAAGATATGGGATGATATTCTTTTGAATATTAGAATTGTCATTTCAACGCCGCAGGTGTTGCTGGATGCATTATCTAATGGTTTTGTCAATTTACATACCATATCTTTGCTTGTTTTTGACGAAGGTAGTTCCTATTAACCTTAATTTGCAGCTCTTGAGGTATTTACTAACCAGCATAGCCCATCACTGTGTTCGTGATGCTCCTGCAAATAGAATTATGCGGGATTTCTATCATTATCATAGACAAGAAGAGGGTACTGATGGTTTACCACATATCCTGGGTCTCACTGCAAGCCCGACCACGCGTGCACGTCAAACAGACCTAGAGTACTGATTTCTACCTTCATTTCTTGTATTTAGACCACTTACTAACTCCTGAATAGGGTACTGGAAATAAACCTAAATGCTGTCTGCGTGACCCCCAAAATGCACCGAGAGGAAATGATGCAATTCATCCATATGCCTGAATACTGCAGTATTGAATATCAGCCAGACGTTCAGAATTTTTCTTCAATAGTGGAAAAGCTCTCTGTAATCATCAACGAGCTTGACATTGAAAATGACCCGTTTGTCAAATTTATGCGACGAAGAAATGACCTCAAGAGCAGGCAGAGGCTTTTGGACGCCTTTGAAAACAAGAAAACACCCTGCCTTGACCAATTGAAAAGATGCCTTCGCAGGTCTAGAGTTATCCATCGAGAACTTGGTCCGTGGGCCTCGGAACGTTTCCTCACACGCTGCATCATGGGGCTTAAAAGTAAACAAATTAATGCTTCAGGCCCACAGTGGGCAGATTGGGATAGAGAAGATAACTCCTACATGCTAAATGTTTTGTCTCAGGTAGTATCCTCAACCGAAATGGGCGTCCAGAATCCTCCAGACGAGCTATCCAGAAAGGTACACAAGTTGATAGACTTCCTAGTGCTGGAGCATGTCAACGGCTCCATCGGAATAGTCTTTGCAGAAGAAAGAACGATAGTCATCATGCTTGCGCAGCTGCTGTCTTTACATCCTCGCACGAAACATATCAAAACTACCGCATTCTTAGGAAGCTCTGCTTCTGTTTCCCGGAAGTCAGATATAACGGAACTGCATAACCCTATAGACCAGAGCACTGCTATAGATGACCTTCGTACTGGAAAGAAGGACCTCATTATAGCAACCGCCGTTCTTGAAGAAGGCATTGACGTCCCTATCTGTGACCTTGTCATTTGTTTTGATCTTCCAAAGGACCTTAGGTCCTTTATACAGCGCCGGGGAAGAGCGAGAAAGAAAGGGTCCAAATTCGCTCTGTTTCTGCATTCGGAAGATCGTGCGACGTCTTCAGAACTACACTTGATGGAAAAAACTATGAAGCAACTATACCTCGAAAACAAAAGAACTCTTGAGCATATTCAATATCTGGAGAATGTTGAAGAAGAGGGTTATGATGGCTTCCGTGTTGCATCGACAGGGTGAGTAAGACCTCGTAGGAAACGGTTTAAGACAGGATTAATGAAATCTAGGGCCCTTCTTACCCTTTCCAACGCTCGAAATCACCTGTCGCATTTCTGTGGGACTTTGTCCGCTGAGTTTATCGCTACCGATCCTGAATTTGTGTTGGAAGGGGATGATACAACCGGATTCTCCGCCAAAGTTATCTTACCCAGTTTTCTTGATCCCAAGTTACGCGAGTTCCGAGGCATCTTACTATGGAAGACCGAAAAAATGGCAAAGAGAGACGCCTCATTCCAAGCGTATGTGGCATTATATGAGGCAGGACTGGTTAATGATTACTTGATGCCCGCCCACCATCACATAGATGATGAGGACGGTCTTGAGCAGGTTGAAAAACGGCCGAGTTTTGCCAAAGCGTCGGGGAGCCTAAACCCGTGGGCAGCTATTGCGAAGAAATGGCGAGAAGCGAAACATTTCTATCAGAACCTCATTGAGATATCAGCTGGCGCGCAAGCCCTTCCTCCCATGGTTATGGTCCTTCCAGTGGAACTACCCTGTGATATCTCATTCAGGCTTTTTTGGAATGAACACTCCACTCTCCTGGTTTCTGTCAAGCGTGGTGGACAAGACTTTGCGGCTGACCTTATTCGGCCTGCTGCGGATACAACCTCAATCCTTCTCTCATCTTTGTTTTCGCAGAAGATGGTCCCTGGTAGTCGAGACTTTTCTTGGTTATTTGTGCCTCAAATGGAATCGATTCCGTCTGCTATCCGGGAGTGGTGTGACTCCGTTACAGGGACGATTTCTTTACACGATATTAGGGACTGCGATATGGCAGGATTTGAGAATCCCGGGCTTGTAAGACCAATGGACAATACAGCACGACCCTGCACATTTGAGAAATTGGTATGGCGGAAATGCGTCCCCGCGGAAACATCAGATGGTGCCAGTCTCAGCGAGCAGGTTACATACGACCGCGAGGTTCCTCATATTGAAGGCACAGTGTGGCCTAAGCGAACCGACTTTTTGCATCGACTCGAACCATCTAATACATCCAAAGCGCATCACACTGCAAAGTGTTTCTATCCAGCGAACAATTGCTCTGTTGACAGGCTACCAGTTGAATATTCCCAGTTCGCATTATTTATCCCTTGCTTAATCCACAGTATTGAGAATTATTTCATTGCTAATGAGCTGGCTCAAACAATTTTGCATCCAGTTGGGTTCAGCAACCTCTCTCTTGTTTTGACAGCCATCAGTTCATCCGCTGCAAGAGAAGCTTCTAACTACCAACGCCTAGAATTTTTAGGGGACAGCCTTCTCAAGTTACATACCTCAATACAGCTAGCCGCAGACCATCCACTTTGGCCTGAGGGACGTTTGACTATGCGCAAAGGTAACGTTGTGTCAAACGGCTACCTAGCAAATGCTGCTCTACAAACGGGATTGGACAAATTTATCCTCACAAAGCCTTTCACAGGCGCCAAGTGGCGACCTTCATACAACACAGATCATATTAACACTGGAGACATGACAGAACCAACAAGGGAAATGTCTACAAAAGTTTTAGCAGATGTTGTTGAAGCTCTGATTGGTGCAGCAAACATTGATGGGGGCGAGAACAAGATTTTGAATTGCTTGAAAATATTTATCCCTGATATCAAGTGGTCTCCGCTCAACGAATGCGTCAACATTCTTCATCACCAACAGGATAGTTTCAGCGATGAAAACAATAACATGTTATCCGAAATTGAGGGACTTGTGGGATATACTTTCAAAAAGAAGCCTCTACTCCTGGCTGCTGTGACGCACCCAAGCAGTAAAGGCTCAGGCCATTCTTATCAAAGATTAGAATTTGTGGGTGATTCTATCTTAGATATTATTGTTGTCCAGGAACTTTTTGAATCGCCGAGGGGTTTCCATCATTTTGACATGCACCTTATGCGCACAGCACTGGTCAATGCAGATTTCCTAGCCTTTCTGTGCATGAATGCATATAGAGAGGAAGACCGAGGCGAAGCAGTTGAGAACTCAAAGAGGAGGGTCACAGTTGCAATGACAAAGCGGAGGGCTTACCTTTGGGGATTCATGAAGCACTCGGCTTCCTGGGATATCGTTAACGCCCAACAGAGGGCCGCAAAACAGTATGAGAAGTTGCACGAAGAAATCGATGAGAAACTGAGATCATCAAAAACATATCCGTGGACATTACTGTGTCGGCTTGACGCTGCCAAGTTCTTCTCGGATATCGTTGAAAGTATCCTGGGCGCAATATTCATCGACTCTCAAGGCTCAATGCCCGCATGCAGGATCTTCCTTGAGTGCATTGGCTTGATACCATACTTAAAACGGGTTTTATCGGAGGACTTAGACTTGATGCATCCAAAAGAGCGCTTGGGTCTCCTGGCTGGCACTCTCTCGGTCAAGTATGAAACAAAACGTACCCAGGGTGTTGAGCCACAGCGTTGGGAATGCGCTGCTCGTGTTGGAGACGAGGAGGTTGTACGAGTCGATTGTAGAGTCAGCAGAGTCGATGCCGAAACCACCGCCGCGGAAGCTGCCGTGGCCATCTTGAAAACAAGGAAACTCCAAGCAGAGGCAAGCAACAAGGTTGCTGAATGTGACTCAGATGTTCTGGGGAAATTGATGTCCGTGCACGTTGGCTAGTCTACGTTGAGGTATTAATTGTTGGTTAGGTTCTAAATATTCTGCAGGATGTGGAGGAGAAATCTGAGGAAGCCTTCTGGTTGAAGCGGTATGAACGAGAAGTTAGCTTGATTATTGGGTGGATACAGGCCACACAAGATGACCAAAACGTTTCGGCCCGCGCCCAGAGTGTTGGTTTCTGGTGCGGAATATATATATATATATATGCATGCCAATGCTGCGTGTCGCTTGGATCTCCGGACTGTCGTTAATTCCTTGCTAGGACATCAGCCGGGACAACTTCTACATTCAAGTATAGTCCTCCGGTGCCGAGAGTCGGCGCATGAATACTCCAGCATTGCCGAGGACTACCCGCAGCATCAGTATTCTTTAAAACAGATTTATGACGATGGCGATATGCTGCTTTGGGGAAAAGGTGTCTTCAGCCGCCAGCAGTATGACCAACTTACCCGGTTTTAACCGAAATGTTCATGCGCCCACAAAGTCCCCATTCAAAAGTGACGGTGATTCTCGTGATATTCCCATTGATCTTTGGACAGCTTTATGGACGAGGGATGGGCAGCGCCGGGTTACATGTGTCCATCCATAACTGCGTATATACACCACTCGGGTGAATCTTGCCGGGCCTCCTTTCGGAATGACAACTCACTCAGTCATCATATTTTCCATGCAGTGCAACAGATAATTGAACAAAGTTGCCAAGCAAACATCGAGATACCATGTCTCTTGCTGCGTAAAGAAAAAGATATCGTCATGGTTGAAACTTGACAATACTCCTCATTCAAAAGTGGGATGAAAATCCAACACTGCTACAGAGTCCTTCGTAGTTAGTTCTGTTGTTAACTAGTTCCCGCTCATCCTGGCGAATGGTTATTCGATCTTGATGAAATCAAAACCAAAGGATGAGAATTGGCCTATGAGCAGCTGCTACATCATAGTAGTCAAGGGCTAGGGTTGCGGAATGTGGAATCCTGTAACCTGAAGCATTTGGAGCAGCGAAGGGAGCGTGGAGACTGTGTGCCTGGACAATGAATATCGTTCATCCTATTAACACATCATAGAGCCGCAACTGACATGATTTCTTTTGCAAATGAGTCCGCAAGACATATTCATAGGGCAAGCGGGGTTGCATATGTAAATTTCGCTGGGGCTGATGGTTGTCAAATCCTCGTGAACCTTCAGTTGGATGTGATGCACGCATTCGAAAACGTGTCACCCCGCGACTTGGCCCCACTGCTTGAACCATGGCACATACATACATTTCCTATAGTCCGATTGTTCATTGTTTTTTGTAGGTATATCATCTGTGGAAGAGCCTCAATTGTTCTTCAAAAGGATATGGATTGTTCTGACGATTGGTGCTGGTCACATCCTGATAATTTTCTTACTATGCACCACTTCTACTTAAGGGTGTAAAATATATCCAGGGTAAAGTTGAATGACAGAAACTTTTGACTTGTTTATGCTTTTGTTAGCGGCAGCGCCGGTCACCAAAGCTTGTCGATAAGAGGAGACTTTGATGTCCATTTCTTGAATATAAAATCACTTTCTAGCACAATTTATTAGTCGCAATTACCAGTATGTTCAACCAAAAAGCGGCTACGTGCTGGTTCATAATAGACACTAACTTCCTCATATCCAAGTGTCGCAAGAACCCCTCTATTCATTGAATACCTGGGAGAAGAATAGACCTGGCGATTTTCTAGACCGTCTTTTGCCCCTTACATGCCTCTCTGACTCCCTCGACTTACCGGAGGGGAAATACACTTATCCGAACAATTCGAGACAAGATTCATTGAAGGTCCAACGGGGAGACGGTGCGGCTAGCAATGAATCTGCTTGCAATATGTCCATTCCTCGCACACTTCCTTCCTTGGCAGAAATGTCAACTTCGACCGGGTTTTCGGGCACTATAAACACGGCGCTGGCCAGCGAAGTTGATATGCATCACATACTTCCCACAGACGATGATGACAACTTTGTTGCTCCAGATGTTCAATATCCTTTTATCTGCCACTGCCTATTCCGAATTCTGGGCTGCGAAAAGTTCTTCAACAACGTGGGGGAATGGAAAACTCACGTCACGAGCCACTTCAACTTAAAGCCGGTGCCACAGAGTGTAGCTTGTCAAGTTTGCAAGCAGAGGTTCCACGGTGCTGAAGATGACGAGGCATGGTTCAAAATGCTTGATCACATTGCTCTTCAGCATGTCCAGCAAGGGCAGACGTTGGTGGGAACATCTCCTGGTTATGAGCTCATGCACCATTTGTACTGCCAAGGCATTGTATCGCAAGACCAATTGAAACTCTTGCAGCACGGAGATCCGGATTCAGAGTCATATGGCCCAGCAGGCCGAGGAGGTGTCAGCCCGACCGCTGAGCCCTACTACGTCAGCGCCAGCAGCCGACGCGAGCGTCGAATGAGAGGCAGAAGGATCTGAAGGTGAAAACAAGGAAAACGCGCAGCTTGCCTCTTGAGGTGAGCTCTCGGCCCTCTTTGAACTATTTTTTTTTTTCAGCGGAGGGTTTAAGCACTGCTGTGTTAAGCTTGATGCTTGAAATCCGCTGCTCAGATGACACCAGGCATCGCAAGCTTAAAGCACACTCTGGCTATGTGCTGGAATTATACGTCTTTCATAATGTGTTTGTATTTGGGGGAATCGACGGCCCATTTTTGGCAGGCTGTCGCTGGAACTCTCGAATTTTCGTTTCAGAAATTGCTGGTCTTGTGGTTCTGGCATTGGAGGAATTTTTCTTTTTTTCTTTCTTTCTTTCTTTCTCCTTTTTTTTTCTTTTTTTTTCTTTTTTTTTTTTTTTTTTGGGCTCGCATGGAGTGAAATCTTCTGGCAGAAGTTGTTTTCCTATTTTGTTCTCAGAGCTCGATAAACTGAGAGACTGAACGGCGTTTGAGAGCCGCGGTGCCCCTTGGGGACTTGAGATTCTTAACTATTTCGGCCACCATAGTCAGGTGCATAGTACAATTTAGCTCGATTCATACACAGAGGCTAGGTTATTTCTCTCCTGATCTGTCCCATAAGACTAGGATGGGGTATGTTCGTAAACCAAGGCAAAGCCTGCAGAAGGTTGGGCGTCGCGATCTTGTTGGTTACTCGAAGCAAACAGCGCAAACATCGCAAAGCCAACCCAAATGGCAGCGTTCAACTGTCGGATGCCAGACAATTTTCTTCCCCTTTGACGACCTGGGGTTTCCTCTTTGGAGTTGAGTCATTCTAATCCGAGATACTGTGCATCATGAGCACAATAAGACGCCCATCCAGATCCTGAACCCTTTCTCCGCGCCGCCTCCATCTACGACTCGACTAACTCTCCTCACTTCCCGCTCCCACATCACACCATGGAGCACTTCTCCCCTCAGGACACGAAGAACGTCGCCGGACGAGCCGGAGGTGGCCCTTCGCCTGGCCCACCTTCCCAATATCCCCAAAGTGGCCGATTTCAACAGCCCAGTCCTCCAGTCGGGCCCCCCCACTCCCAGCAACATCAAATGCCACGAGGAAGCACACCACCGCAGCAACAGGGCGGAGCGCCAGTGCTACCGTCCGGGCCGCCGCAATTACCTCCGCAACTGTTCACAACTGCTGCGCAACTTTTAGATTTAACCGACAGTGAGATATACCTTGGTTCCCCTTGTGACATTTACCTATCGCGAATGGCTAGAACGACGGTGAAAACACTGTACATTGGTGGCCGGATCTTATTCTAGGCGCATCAAGAAGAGGCGCAGTGTGCTGATGGTTGTTTTCTTGTGCGTTACTTCGGTACATTATAGAGAAACTTGTTCTGATCCTTCGTGACGGTCGCAAATTAATCGGAGTGCTACGAAGCTGGGACCAATTCGGTACGCTTGAAGCTTGACAATTTCCTCCTTTCTTGCAGCTTGTCTAACTATTTTTTGTTTCTGGGAGTGTAGCGAACTTGGTCCTTCAAGATACGGTCGAACGAGTTTATTCCGGAAATCTCTATGGAGAAGAACCGCGTGGCGTATATTTAGTACGAGGAGAAAATGTCCTTCTCCTTGGAGAGATTGTACGTTTATACTTTGATATACTGTTCTAATAAGTTGCGTTGCATTTTAAATGTATTATTCTAATCGTCCTGCGTTTTCTTGCAGGATCTCGACAAGGAAGACGATATACCTGAACCTTACCGTCAAGCGCCGTACAAGGAAGTTCTTGAGATGAAGCAACGAGAGGATTCCGAGCGAAAAAGGACAGACAAACGCCGCGGCGGGAAGCTACAAACCCTTGGGTTCGAGGCTGAACACAGTGGTGAAGTCTTATTCTGATACTTACAAGAAGCTACACATCAGGCCACTATAAGATCGGTTTGATGCTATGTGGTTGACTATAGGGGCCCACGAACAGAGGCCCTGATGTATTGAAATTCTATGCATTGCCTTTGGCAGTAGGACCGGGGATACCCATGTCGAAGGCTTTACTGCCAGAATCATGGAAATGGACACGAAAAGTCATGTCCACCCCCGCTTAAACATCCTATCTACAGAACTGGGGCCTGCGCTTGGTTCGATCGGACTAGCATATTCCAAATGTTGGCGAGAAGCACAGGGTGCATGAGGCGGAGCTGAGGGGAGGACCAGATCCAACTATTGTTGAATACAAGAGATGCGAAGCAAACCGACCTGAACATCCAATTCTATACTCTTTCTTTCGAAGGTCAACCACCCCAAAGATGTTTTTGGTATACACGTGAAAGCATTCATTCCAAGTACAGTGCAGTACATCCAACTCCATACGTAATTTCTGGCCCATGGCAGGCTGGTGGAATGAACAGAAGACACTGCGTAGTTGGACGACATCCTGAAAATTTCTCTGGTAACGGTCAAAGGGCCCTACCATCGCTCCACTTCGCAGAATTTGCAAAGAAAGGGCATCCATACTCGACATCGGCCTCTCCGTTGGTTGTGCGACGGTGCTCCTCTCGTAGCTAACTAGCTGGATGGTTGGCCGCCGTTCGCCCCACACAAGTCGCTATCGATAACCGCAAGACCCAAAAAATTTGTCGCTTCCGTCAATCCAACTGCTCGCCGACCAGCACATATTCAATCACTCAGCAGCAGTCTTGAACGCCAGGAAGTCTCGCAGCAGTGATTATTCCCGGAGCTGGAATTCACCTGCATCATGGCGACCTTGCAGGAGAAACTTGACAAGATAAAATCTCCGAAGCTGCAGAACCAGCACTCTGTATGGACTCGCCAGGACCAGCACACTAGACAGCTCCGTTCCTTCGTTTATTCTGAGATAAAAGGCTAATTGACGACTTAGACAGCTATAGTGCTTTCGGCAGTTGAAGATACCCTCCGCGAACAGAATGCCGACTTCACCGCAACCGCATTCTTCGCCGCTCTTCTAGGCTTGCTCGGTCAGTCTGTGAGTTCCACCCAGGGCACAGTTGATAAAGAGCCTATTACTTCAATCGTCTATCTCCTCGACATCACATCTCCTTTCGTTCCGACTCCGTTACTCCGCGCCAAATTTTCGCAAATACTGGGCAGCCTCGTGCTGGTTCTCACAGCACCCGATGCCGAAGCACCACTGCTGAGATCTTCAATCGGATGCCTTCAATCTCTTCTCGTGGCCCAAGATGCAGCTGCTTGGGCTCTCCCTCAGTCTCAGATTGGTCCGCGACGAGCGATGGCGGGATTACTAGCTTTAGCCGTTGATCACAGACCAAAAGTTCGAAAGCGAGCGCAAGATGCGCTAATCCATGTCCTAAAACATCCTCCACCAAATCCATCGTTGGACCATCCAGCTGCGGATACGTGCGCGGAAACTGCTCTTATGACACTAAGAGAGAGTGTAGCGGCGTCTGCAAAACAGAAGAAAGGGAAACAGGCGCATTTACAACAAAATCAGCACGAACCTGCGGTGATACATGCGCTACATCTAGTCAAGACTATTGCAACAGCGTCAGGAGGGTGGCCAAGCAAGAAGATCGAAGCTTTATGCGAAATACTAATGAACGTCTCAAAATCGACTAATGAATTTTTAACGATGGGAGCATTCGAGGTGTTTGAGGTGATTTTCGAGAGTATGGCAGATGAGTTTTCTTCGTCGAAACTACCCCGTCTATTGGAAGCCATTCGTGAACTGAAGCCTTCACAAAACGATTCACAACTTCTTCCACCGTGGATTGCGGTGCTCTCAAGAGGATACGATGTTTCTGCTCAAGTACAGCCGGAAGACACATTCGAAAACTTGCCAGAACTATTTGACCTTGTGGCCTCCTTCCTTACCTCCTCTTCGCATAACATCAGAATATCCGCTTCCGAATGTCTCATTTCATTCCTTGCTAATTGCATCCCGGCTAGTGTCATTGTCGAACCTTCTATTTATGACGAAAAAACATTGGAGAAGCTTTCAAAAATAGGGACAAGCCTACTCTCGGTCAAATATCAAACTGCATGGGCAGAAGTCTTCGGCGTGCTGACAGCCATGTTTGAGGCTCTGAGATGGAGGTCGGATCCCTTATTGGCGGACGTTGTACGAACAGTTGGAGGTATTAGAGCAAACGAATCCTTCCACGGCAAGAAAGAAGCGGACAAAGTCCTCGGTGCTGCAGTTGGCGCCATGGGGCCCGAAGCTGTACTTAAGATTCTGCCATTGAACATAACACAACAGAAGGCCGGCGAACCGGGGCGTGTTTGGCTTTTACCTATACTACGTGATTACGTCTCTAATACCCGCTTGGGTTACTTCCGGTCTGAGTTTGTTCCCCTCAGTGAAGCTTTATTCCAGCGAGTACTTGAATACGGAAATGTTGAAAAGACAGTTGAAGTCAAAATCTTCGAGACACTTGTTCAACAAACTTGGGCTACTCTGCCCGGTTTCTGTGAGCTGCCGTTGGATGTCACTGAAGCTTTCGACCAGTCTTTTGCGGAACTTCTCTCAAACGTGCTATATAAACAGGCGGAGCTCCGTGTGGAGGTCTGCAAAGCGCTACAGAACCTAGTCGATTCAAACAAGGAGATTGCGTCACTGGACACGGAAGCAGATGATCTCCTCCTCCAACGACGGATTACGAAGGAGACAGCAAAGAAGAACATTGCACATCTTTCTGGCTTTTCAAGCAATCTTCTTGCTGTTTTGTTCAATGTCTATAGCCAGACATTGCCTCAATTCCGAGGACACATCCTGCAGTGCATTAACGCTTACTTAAGTATTACGCCGGAGCAGGTATGTTTTATAATACTCTTGATTTCTATGCGTCACTAACCCATGCTCTTTAGGAACTAATTGATACATTTAATCGAGTTACAGCGATGCTTGAGGGCTCTCTTAAAGAAAGTGCCCAGGAGCAAGGAAAACAGAAAGGCACTGGAGACAAGATGCCGCCAACGTCACACACGCTGATGGACCTCGTTGTCACAATGTCTATCTACCTTCCACGAGCAAGCTTTTCAACTCTATTCTCTCTTTCAGCTGTTGTACTCAATACCGAATCTTCTGACCCACAGTTAATCAAAAAGGCGTACAAACTTATACCTCGTCTGGCGACAACAGAAACTGGCGCTTTAGCTCTCAAAGAACGTAGCTCAGAGCTACAATCACTTTTTATCTCGACAGCCGACAAAACTCCGTCTCCAGCCCGACGAGATCGGCTTGCGGCTGCCCAAGAGGTCGTAACTCACCTTCCCACGTCTGATCTTCATTTTATTCCATCCATTCTCTCAGAAGTTGTCCTTGGATGCAAGGAGAGCAACGAGAAAGCTAGAACGGCAGCGTTTACTCTCCTAATTCATCTCGCGAACCGCGTGTGTGATCCCGAACTCAACCCTGCCGGCACTGTTATTCGCAATTCTCTCGTTCCTCATATGGCGGACGATGCTCCTGATGCTCCAGCAACCATGGAAGAGTTTTTCACCATGGTTTCTGCGGGTTTGGCTGGTAGCTCACCACATATGGTCGCTGCATCTGTTATCGCCCTATCACGTCTTCTCTTCGAGTTCCACACCAAATTGCCTCCCGCGATGCTATCAGATCTTGTCCAAACGATTGATCTTTTCCTGACTAGCAATAATCGCGAGATCGTCCGCGCAGTGCTGGGATTTGTCAAAGTAGGGGTTGTCGCTCTTCCGGACGAGATGCTCAGGCCACGTTTGCAGTCCCTAGTGCCAAATCTCATGGTCTGGAGCAAAGAGCACAAAGGGAGGCTCCGAAGTAAGGTAAAAGGCATTCTCGACCGATTAATCCGGCGCTTCGGCGCTCAAGCCGTTGAGAGCCTCACTCCAGAATCCGACCGCAAGCTCGTCGTCGCAATCCGCAAGCAACGCGAAAGAAGCAAGCGGAAAAAGGAGCAAAGCAAAGAAGCAGGAGAAGAAGAGTCCGACCAAGAAGAATCCCGAACCCGCAAAGCAGACAACGCATTCAGCAACGAATTCGACAAGGCCGTTTACGGATCGGACCTGTCCGACTCAGACCTGGGCTCAGACTCCGACGACGCAAGTGAAATCGAGATTGACGCCGCAGGCAACATGCACAAGCACAGCTCGCGCTCCAAAGAAAGACCCCAGTCCAAACCCAGCCGACAGAAGGGTAAGTCCCACAAGGCGCCCGGCGCAGACGACGCGGGAAAACAATACATCCGCGAACTTTCACCCGAATCCAACCCGCTCGATCTCCTCGCTCCCAACGCCCTGGCGAACATCTCCAGCACGAAGCCGTCCGTGCGCTTCCTGGATGCCAAGCGGGCGAAGAAACGCTCTGCACGCATGGACGCAGAGGGTAAATTACTCCTGGGCGATGACGTGCACGATCACGACGGAGACACGCCTATGGGCGGCGCCGCTGACAACGGCGGAGAAAATAACGCCGGTGATGCAATCAACGCGTACATTGCTGCAGTCAGTGGGCCCGACGCCGTGCGCAAGGGCCAAAAGGGCCGGTTAAAAGTCAGTCAGAGTGGGGTTGGGAAGAAGAAGTCTGGTGGCGGTGATGGGATGGATCTTGATTCTGATGGCGAGGATGGCGGTGGTAGGAAGGTGTCATCCGCGAGCGGAGCGGGGAGGAATGATGGTCGGCGCGGTCTTGGGATGCCGAAGAGGAGCGGGAGCGGAGGTGGTGGGGCGGGAAGGATCGAGAAGCGGCGGAATGTTAAGGTGGGAAAGAGTGGAAGCGGGTTTAGGAGGAAGAGCGGAGGAAGAAGATGAAGCGCACAAAAATTATACTAAGCAGGGGCGGAACGAGTTTGTTGCGCGCAATGCGAGTGGCAGGCTACTGAAGTGATATGCTTATTTACTCATCCATTTTTTTTTTTTTTTTTTTTTTT